GGTCCAGGTCTTCGTATAGCCCCCCATATTTATTTATTTTTTTGAGAATGTTTCAAAGTTCGGCCGGACGAACTTAAGCTGGGAATACATAAAGCGCTTATTTGGCTGGCTTAAGTCATCGGCTGGCCTCTTCGGAAGTGAACAAAGGAGCCTAGGGCCAAAATCGAACTAGGTCAACCTAAAACTCCTTTGTTCATTTACGAAGAAGCCAGCCGATGACTTAAGCCAGCCAAATATGCGCTTTATGTACTTCCAGCCTTACTGCTTTATACCTTGTTAAAATTTTATTTAGATTTTTTTCTTCATAATTTACATTCGATGTCTAATATTTCGAACAAATACGTGTGTATGTGGTAGTAAAATTCAACTCTGATTCAAGTCAATTTGTCGTGTGTAAACATCGGGTTACCATATCAAATGGAAACAGGTCCCCATCCTATAGCCCATTTTAACTATTGAAGATTAACCCACTGGGTTTATTTAATCTAGTGGGTTAACCTTGAGTATTTAGATACACTTTGAGAGGCTATAAGTTGTTGGACGATCTTTGTTTACGAATAAACACAAAAGAAAAAACAGAAAATGTAATAAATATTTTGTGAAAAGAAAACAAAAATGCAACAAATTAATATTGTAAATCAATATTGTTGAAATCCTTTCGTGAGAAGAACTATTTAAGTATAGTAATTTTGGTTGAATAAATACAGATTATGCAATAAATTCTGATAATGTGGTTTAATCAGGATAAAATTGTGTATCTAAACGGGCTATTAGATTAATGTCAGATGCATGGTAAAATTAAGAAGGTAAAGTCATGCAATCATATATTTAAAATTTTTTTCAAAATTATTCATTTGACAACATCTCGTTGTCAAAATTTATATTTATAAATGCTTATTTGAAATGATTTTACCTTCTTAATTTTACCATGTGCCAGATATTATCAAGGGTATAATTTTGAATAAAAAAATTTTAGACATACCTATATTAGGTTACAATAACTAATTAATTGAAAATTTATAAAATATACTACTAGCATTCCATGAAAATATTTCTTAAGAAGCTTTTATATTTGCATTGACCTTAGGTGGCTGTTCTTATACATCCATTAATATTTAATCGGAAGTAATGTCATTCGAATAATAAAAATCCATTTATCTATCATAACTATTTTGACTATCACAAGAAACCCCACTGATCTTGCCTAAGATATCTATGGATTAATCATAAGAAGAAGATTTATAGATCTTGTATAATTATTCGAGGCGATCTATTAATCTTCTATAGTACATACACATCTTCTATAAAAATGGATGGCATGAGAAATATATTGGCCTTATGTTTACTGTCAAAGTTCAATCGAAGAATGCAGTCTCTTCATTGAAAGCAAACATCTAACATAGATTAAATAATATTTAATTTTTATTAAAAAAAATCCAGGGTAAAATTAAGAATTTAAAGTCATGCAATCATATGTTTACAATTCTTTCAAAACTATTCATTTGATAACATCTCATTGTCAAAATTTACATGTTTAAATCCATGTCTGTTATTCAGTGAAATTTGACAAGGTAATAGAGCGTTTAGATACAAAAATTTCTCCGGATTAACCCACCCATGTAAACGCAGTATAATATTGTAATTGTTTTACCACGATTATTTAATGGCTTAGAATGTAAGAAAACCACACCTAGATGATTGTAAATCAATTATCACGGTAAATAACCCTTATAAAATTGGGATACTTTTAGTTACTCAATTGAGTTTTTGAATTCAAATTTTGAGAATATTTATAAGAAAAAAATAAAGCCTATGTTAAAGTCCGTTTACATACAAAATCTTTACCCGGATCAACCCTGATAATTGACCAATCACAATGAATTTAAGGCGTGTTTTATGCAGTTAGATTAACTATTATTAGGATTAATTCGGTTAAAGATTTTGTGTGTAAACGTAGTTTAAGGTCGGCCAAGAAGCATGGTAGAAGAAGAGGTAGGCGCATCGACACAGTTGCTGGGACAACGATCAAACCAATTTTGTAATTGAAAATTTTGAATGAAAAATTATTTAAATTATTTAATCAATTTTTTTACGATTGGTGTAGTATAAGAAAACATATAAAAATCTATTTATTTTTGAAAAAAAAATTTTTTTTGACATATCAATGTTCCCAAGTTTTGATGCATCTACCTCTATTCTTCTACCATGCCAAGAAGATTACTTTTGACAACAATTTGAACTTTGTAGTTTTTTGCACTATTGTCATTTCACTCTCTTTGATTTTCAAAACACAATATGTCTTTTGAACCTATCTGTCAGATGGGCTTACTAGCCGACCATATAAAGGCCACGAGAAAAATGTGTCATTTTATAGAAAGTTCTTTAAAAATAGAGAGAAAGTTCATCAATTCAAGAAATTTATTTTAAATATCTATATATAGCAATTGTCATCCACAAATCAATGTGTATCTCCTCTGGGCAACAAAGTCATCAGCCTTCAATTATTTTTTGCTTGCAACTTTGTGTACTTTGGGCAATTTTTTCAAGTCATGATTTTACAATTTCATTGATTACCAACATCAGTCAGCAATGATATGGCAATTTCAAGGAATAGCCAAAAGAAATAGACGATGTTTGGTATATATTACAAATATTAAAATAATAGTAATAATAAGTTCATTATTTCATTAAATATAATTGTGTTATTAGGTAGATTTATTGAAAGAAGCTAGGAAAGTATGTACCTTTAACAAATATGTTTTTTTTTTTTTTGAAAAAATAATGCAGCTTTCACTTGGTGATATTTATAAAAGTAATTTTTGATGACAGATTTTTCTTGGAAGGGGGAAAAGGCGGAAAGACGAATATAGATTCCGTGTGTCATTCAAGACAGCGTCTTAGGTTAGATATATGGGGTAATTTATAAAGAAAACACATTCTTACATTTTTCAAAAATGCTGAAGCAATCAACTGCATTACATCGGAAATGTCCTCTTTAAACATGCCCTAAGAATTTGAAAAGACTCAGTGAAGCAGTTTGGCATCAGGCCGATGACTTATGCCAGTCAAAAAATTGTGTTTTATGTACTTCTACCTTAACAAAAGTTTTATAAAACGTGCGTGATGATAGTAACGACTCTAACTTTCGATAACAACGAGTTATCGAAATTCACAGGGTGATATAGAACACCCCAATTTACATTTATTACCATTCTTTCAACGGTGCTGATGAAAATTAATGAAAACAATAAAATAAAATTATTATTTAATGAAATTATTAATTAAAAAGTCAATAATAATTACTCATTTCTCAAGGGCTCCGTGCGAAAGACCGCTATCAAATCAAAACAGCATAATTTTCCAGCTATATTTGACTGGTGGTCAGGGTAGAAGATCGGCTCTGAAGGCTTCCCTATACAAACCTCGCCCAAAATGAATCATCATGCTAACTTCACGCACCTTAAGAATATACTACTTTTGCAATTTTTTTTCGATATCATAAAGGTAAAATCGCTTCTCGTAGCAAAAACTTTTACATACTTGCAGTTCTGGAACACACTAAATATATCAGACTTGAATTCGAACTAATAGCATGTGAGAAAATACACATGAAGAGGCAACACTGCATTTGAGTCACTGACTAGTCGCATTGAATCAGACAATGAACTGTCAAAAAAATTTTAAAATTGAAAATTTTGAAATAAAATTTATTCAAATTTCTTTAAATTATTGGAAAATGTATATCATAACAACCTAAGATTGGCGTCGTAAAAAAAGGAAGATAAAAATCTACTTATTAAAAAAAAAAAAAAAATTAAAATTGTTGACATATTAATGTTCCCAAAGGTTGATGCATCTACCTCTATTCTTCTATCATGACTCCAACTAATAGCATGTGTGTAATTACACATGAAGTGGCAACACTGCATTTAAGCCACTGAGTTGTATTCATGGTAGAAAAATGCAGGTGACCGCATCGACACAGCTGCTGGGACAATGAACTGTCAAAACAATTTTGGAATTGAAATATTTGAATGAAAAAGTATTCAGATATGTAAAAAAATATAAATGCATATAATCAGAACCTCCGTTGTATACGAAAACATATACAAATCTACTTGTTTGTGAAAAAAAAAACATTTAAAAGAAATAGGGTAAATTATATACAATAAGCCATATATTATTCTACCATGATTGTATTCTTGGTAGAAGAATAACGGTAAATGCATCAACGCTTGGGAAAATATGTCAAAAATTTTTAAATGTGTTTTTTTTTTTTTTTTTCAAAAATAAGTAGATTTTTATATGTTTTCTTGTACGACGTCAATCGGAGGTTATTACAATATACGTTTTCAACAATTTTTCTATACATTTCCATTTAAAGTTTTCAATTACAAAATTGGTTTGACAGTTTATTGTCCCATCAGCTGTGTCGATGCGTCTACCTGCATTCTTCTACCATGGTTGTATTAAATGTTTACATGTTTACACATACCTTTTAGGTCATCTGATAAGATCAGCTGATTTCATCCGCATTGTCAATATTAACAAAATTTTTGACAATAAACAAATCAATCGCAATAGTAGCCAAATTTTCGTTTTGCTCACACAACCTGTCTAAACCCATTAATATATACGAAATGCTGTATCTTTCATGCATCAGAATCCTGTGGAGCCAATAAAAATTTCTACGAATTTGTGGTGTGCGCCTTTAAAAGGGGTAACCCTGAATATAATTGATAGCTAGAAGAAGAAGAAGAACAATTACTAAAAAACAGCTGATTATTCCAATTACTTAAATGTCAATATTAGGGAATAATATAAAAAGAAAATGGAAAAATTAAGCGAGGAAAATGGCAGCCAGAATTTCCTGGCAAAAATTAGAAGAAAAATCTTTCCCTTTTTGATTTGACCTGCCTCTTGACCTCTTTTAACAAAATTGGAAGCCTTAAAATAATTATACAAAATTTAACAACAAAAGGCGAAAAGTTGAAATAAAACTTATAACAAATCGAATAATTTTCACAAAAATTGAAAATTAAAAGACAAATTGAACTTTTCTTAAAATTAAAACAAAATTTGGAAACAATTTAACAAAATTGAAAAGAAAAACCAAAACAATTAACTAAAAATCTAAACCAAGAAAATAAATCTTAAACCTAAAAATTCATGGAGAATTGGAGCCTACAAGCCACACCATCGCCCATCCAATCCATCGAGGGAGCCGCTGATTTTGCGCCATTGCTAACCCAGCGTGGCTTGGTATTCCCAATCGACATTTAACACAAGAAACCTCGAACAGACAGACGGACGACGAAGCATCATAATTAAATTCCGCGTTTTTTTTTTTCTGTAAAAAAAGGAGAAATATGAATTAGAAGGGGAAACAAATGAAGTAAATTTTAAATTTTAATCACCTTTTGGTTAGTCTGCAGGTACACGACGTTGAACAGAGCTCTATTCAAGGTTAGGTAACCAAGCTTTTAATCCGTTCGTCGATTTTAAGTGCTATCGACACTCCATCTTTGTTTGCCTTTCCTGAAATTGAATGAAAGAAATATAATTAATAAAAAAATTTTAACGTGGAATATAATTAATAAAGCTAAACTTTAAAACAATACTTACGTACATACTTGTTGGGAAGAACCACAATTGCAAGCTGCCTTTATTGCACCCTAATTTTCGTCATCAGAAAGCGCAGTCTGAAAGAAAAAGGAGAATTTTTCAGTAATTTTTGGCAAAATTGTTTTAATTCATTAAATTGAATTCATTGTTAAATTTGAACGCAAACATTAAAGTTAGCATGTAATTTTTTTTTACGAATTGTTATTTGGGTATTTAAATAGTTTAAATAAAATGTACCAATTTTATATAGAAAAGACAAATATGTCCTTGGCTTAAAGCCCTTTTTAAAAGGTGGTGGTAATGGTATAAAATGCGGTAAGTCAAGGGTCAGATCTGGGACGTCCAGTATGAGTAGACGTCATGGCGAGAGGTGTTCTCGGAGGGAGGGCTATCTCCTGGCTGGTCAGCCGCCAGGAGCACTGTTTCTGTGAGGAAAACTAATATTATTTTGGGATTTGGTTGTAGTTAGGTGAACGTTTTCTTTTTAATTTTTTTGTTGACATGTTTCAGGCTTCCTTTTACCCCCTTTTTGATTTAGTTTGAAGTCCGGTATGATTTTATTTGTTTGTTCAACCGAAAAGATCTGCAAGTGGCAAGAACCAACCCCCAATCCGACGAGCCATAGCCGCGCTAAACGCCAGCATACCGGCAACGCCACTTGATGATCAACACAGCGATTTCATTTCGGTTTTCTTGAACACGGTTGTTACAAATTATTGAGTTATTAAACACACCACACATTTTTTTTCTTCTAACCCGCATTATGTTGAAAACATCTCTAGAAATTCACTTTCATTTGAAATTAATTTAATGGATTTACTCAACATGCGTTAAGTGGATTTCGAATTGCTTAAAAAATACCCATTTGAGTGAATGAATCGTAAATGAATTAATAATTCATATTCTAAATTGGGCAATTGAAATTATTTATGACCATATAATTAAAGAAACCACAACCTTCTGAAAGAAAGTAAAAATATTCCATTTATTGTTCGCTACCAATTTGGCAAAGAAATTTCGGGGAGAACATAACACATTTCTATTTACATGTTTGTTAAACTATGCTGGATATGCGAAAGCGAAAAAGAAACGAAATATGTCTATGTGTGATCTAATAAAAAAACAAATCCGTCTAAAATAAATGAGTACATTTATATGGGGCTGTGTATGTAAATATGCATGCAGAAGTGTGTGAGAAGATGAACATTTAAAATAAATAGAAAAGAAAAGAGAGAAGACAGCACAAAACAAGAAAATTATAATGTAGAAGAAGAATCGCTCAAAAAGAAGACTTTTATATATATGGTAATATGTACCTATACACAAATTTTACGTTACGGTAGATATTCAAAAAAAAAAAAACGACAAACACAACAACAATTCTACACAACCACGATTCATGAATTTACTTTCACTGGTCATGACAACGACAACACCAACAAATATCAATAAGACAGCCATGGTAGTAGCACGAATGGAAGCACGATTTTCTATGTGTTGATGTTGTTTTTCGTTTTTTTTTTTTGTTTGTTTTGTATTTCTGGTGGCATTAAATGTTGTTCTTTCAATAACCACTTGCATACGTGACATGGTTTTGAACTCTGTAACATTTTGATAGTTTTATTGGCTGGAGAGTTACAAAAAAGAAAATCAAAAGCAACAGACATTGTACGTTTTGGCAAAATTACAAATATTTGTATACAAATTTTCTTGGCATGTTTAATTGGCTACAAAAAATGTGCAAAAAGAAGAAATTCAATAAAAAAAGAAAATAATAAATCAATGAATATTTATAGAAATTCCACAAGTAAACAAGAAACAATGATAATACTAATAATTAAATGTTAATAACGGCAAATGTCAAATTGTCAAAATACTTGCTTAAAATGTAAAAAAATTTAATTATATTTCGTTGATTTTCGTCTAAAGACTTAAGACACAAGCTTTGAATTACAGTTAAGCATAGAGTTATACCATGTTCTCACAAGTGTTTGAACTACGTGTATGAATTAAAGACTGGTAGAAGAATGCAGAATACTTGGAAACATTAATATGTCAATTTTTTTTTAAATATTTTTCCAAAACAAGTCGATTTTTATATGTTTTCTTATACGACACAAATCAATAATTTTTCATTCACGATTTTCAATATCAAAATCGGTTTGAGTTCATCGATGGTAGAAGAATACAGGTAGTCGCATCGACATAGCTGCTGGGACAATGAACTGTCAACTGATTTTGAAATTGAAAATGTTGAATGAAAAATTTTTGAAGTTTGTAAAAATTGTTGAAAAATACATATTATATCAACCTCCGATTTGCGTCGCATGAGAAAACATAAACAAATCTACTTATATTTGAAAAGACATTTAAAATATTTTGACATATCAATGTTCCCAAGCGTTGATGCATCTACCTGTATTCTTCTACCATGAGTTGAGCATAGACTTATACCATGTTCTCACAGGCATTTGAACTATGTACATGCATTACAGCTTTTACTAAAAACCTTTCGAAATTCATATTAACATTATATATACAAAATGTGTGGAAAAGAGATAACTATATTTTTTTAAAGAAGTATTGTATCATAAATTCCATTTTTCACCCAAGTTTAAAATTTTAGAATTTCCTCTACTTCATACAACTATTTATTTTTATAGCATACAGGTGCCAAGAATTTTAAATCATAAACTGTATTATGTATTTTGCCACAGAAGACAATTCGTGCCTGTATATTATATAGTAGCATGAGATTACCTTATATAATTTCGCCATGGGTTACACACACCTTCATGTATTTTTGCTTATTTTGTTTCTAGATTTATAGGCCGATTCTCAAGCAAAAGGCATGCCCTGAATTACAACACTGGATTTACCAAATCTTATAGACTTTAAAGATACTATAAGCTCTTTATTTCTTATTTTGAAATGTCATATTTCCTCTTTTCATAAAGGAATTGTCCAGCAGGTTCTTTTGCAGAGAGTAAGATGCTTTTATTCTTTTTTTGCAAGAAAACCTGAATGAACTTGCAAGCAATTAGGCATGCAAAATATAAGTCACCGGCAGGAGAAGAAGAAGAGTTGCAAGAAGAAAATTGTTCAGCAAGATGTTGGAAAGTCACACGCATGGCTCAATAAGAAAGGTTACTCAACTTCAACGAAACTAGAAAAATGCAACTCTGTGCTGGAGTCATTTAGTGTCAAATAGACTTTTAAATATGCAACAGTTTGTTTTGTTTATTTTTAATTTTTTCTAACAAAATTCTTTTATTGGGGAAAACTCGCGAAACAAAAATGGAATTTTGGGGTATTCCACAAGATTAAATCTAAAAAAGTCGGACAATACAATTTTATTCCAAAATTGTACAACGTGTTGTCCATTAACGTCGAAAATGTACATTTATTTTGCAACCGAATTTAAAATGATTTCAAATTATTGTATTTTTTATTCAAAACAATACAGACATATTTACAAAATGTGTATATGTTTTGACAGAATAAGGGCGCCAAAAGAAAAAAATTATATTTAGGGAGTAGCTTTGTTCTACCTTCTGTAATTATGCCATGTTTACACTGAAAGATCTCGCAGAATTTCTCTCTCAAATCGCTCACTTTTGCAGAACTTTTGTGTTAACAGACGACATACAGTAACAATTTGAAAAATTCTTACAAATTTTAGGGTATGTTTTGTACCAGAAATTTCCCCAAAAAATTAATTCTCAAGAAATGTATATTTTTTAATAACAAAATTTGTGGATATTTTTTCCTGTCATTTTTCCGGAATGACCTAATAGATTAAAAAATATATATATTTTTCAAGATTTTTTTTTGTATTTTTATAGCTACCTCAATCTAAATTGAATTACAGAATAGATTCCGCAAAAATAAGTCTTTTTCTAGCCTCACTTTATGTAAGCTGTTGCCCGCTTTTTTAATAATTCTAAATAAAAAACCACTATTATTACGTCACATTAATATTAGAATTACAAAAGAAACTTTTTTTCTTTCCCCACAGACAACTTTCTTTCATTCAAATTACAATGTGAAGAATGTTACGCATTTCCAACTAAAGGCAAGTTCAAATGTTATGACATTTGCAAAAACAAACACACATAACAGCTACTAAAAATATTAAAAAAAATCCCGTTTAAATGCCTTTCATAAGACATTCTCTTCGAAATGAAAAGAGAGTGGAAAGAAAGGCAGAAGCGACGCATGACAAATGAATCATAAAAATGAAAAATAATAAAGACCCACAGTCAGTGGCATTTTTAGAAATTTGTTGAATAAAAAAAAACTGGAATTTTTGTTTAAAAGATAGACATAAAAACGAAAGACATTTACATTGAATAATGTTGTCATCACTCTTTCTAAAACAACAAAAACACAAAGAGACAGCAAATAATGGAAAACCTTTAAGGCAATCAACCAAAAATCTCTTGCTCCCTTGTAAGCCCGTTCCCCGTTCATGTTAAAACCAAACCGCTGAACAATGGGTGTCAACAGCACTTGTAATAACATTCATTCACTTTTTTTTCCTATAGCTTGACTTCATTAGCTTACAATGGCCAAAAGGGGGGAAAAAGAAAACAAAATGTTTTTTACATAAATGGAGTAAAGAAAATAAACTACAATTAAATAATAGAATTTCACTTTCATTTGCAGAGTTTCCAACATTAAAATTATTACATTGTTCACACTGTCGGTAAATGGAGGCACTTTGTTTGGTGGGATGATGATGATGTTGAAGGCGAGGTTTAAAAGCCAAATAATTAATACAATTTGATTTTCCCTTTGAACAATGAAGAAACAACATTGCAAGTGTAATGGCATCATCATTTGTTATTGTTGTCTGTGCGGCACTGTTCAACCATTGCCATGTCTTTCGTAGTCGTCGTCTGTCGGTTACACGTGCAGCCAGTGGCAGCACAATGCAAAAGAAAGTTTGTTGCTTAAGTTTTTCGTTTTTTTTTTTTGTTTACTTACCTTTCGTTAAATATACACTTTAATTGACTTTTGAATGATATTAAGTGAATTTTTTCGGGTAATTGAATATGTAATTGTGTGTGTCTTCATTGATGGCGGGAATTAATAAGAAACTATTGAAATGTTTAATTAACATTTTTCCATGATCAAATGAATATTTTTTGCAGAGTTTCGTTTTAATAAACATTTTTTTCATTTTCTTTGTTAATAATGATGAGCAAAAAAAATGAATGAAACTATTTTGATAAATAACATTATTTATTCGATATGTTTTGCGAAAAACAATTGGAAAGGGTTTAAAATGTCATGACATTTGACAATGTGGCGTCACCGTATTATTTTGCTGCTGCTTAGATCGAAGATACGGCAACGTAACACGAACAAAATATTAAGCTGCCCTCAGACACACCAACAGTTGGCCCAACTTGTCACTTTTAAGTTGTATGAAAAAGTTGGTCGGTCTACTCGCACGTACCAACTTTTCATACAACTGTTGTACCAACTTTTCATTTACAAAGTATTTTTGAAGCGTCAACATGAACTCGGATGCTCTTGCGCTACTGGGAATTGATATAATTTTAGAGGAAGAAGAAGAAAGACAACTGTTTTCGTTTCTCTTCTTGCGCTCAGCGCTCAGCTTATGTATGTGCTGCTTCGCCAAAGTCAAGACATAAATGAAGAAAACACTGAAGTTGGTACAATTTGCCCTCGCACGCACCAACATTTGGCCCAACTTACGAAATTATCAAAAAATTTTGATATTTCGAAAAAGTTGTACAACTAGCCCTCAGACGCACCAATAGTTGTACCAACTTGTCACAAGTTGGGCCAACTGTTGGTGTGTCTGAGGGCAGCATTAAAATTAGATGGCAATTCTTCATAAACAATACATATGCCATGATAAAATGATACAGAAACCTTTGGACGACATCGTGTAAGAAAACAATTGGAAATCCATTTATTTTCGCAGGTATATTTAAATATTTTTGACATCTGAATGTCTGCGAGTTTTGCTACAACTACCTGTATGATGTGTGCTTTTTATTACAAGCCACACATTTTATTTTTATTAAATTTAAATCCATGGTGATTTATCTGGTTTATGCAATGGATGCATTGGTTTTGTAAATAAACATTTTGACAACAAGATATCAAATGTTAACAAAATTGAAATCCCATTATTGCATGACGTTACCTTCTTAATTCTACCATCCTTAGATTGTGACAATTTAAGCCTACTGGGACAATGAACTGTCAAATCAATTTTGGAATTTAAAATGTTAAATGAAAAATTATTTAAATTTGTAAAAATTGTAGAAAACGCGAATTATAATAACCTCCGAAAGGCGTCGTATAAGAAAACAAATAAAAATCTGCTTATATTTCAATATGCATTTAATATTTTTTGACATATTAATGTTCCCAAGCATAGATGCATCTACCTGTTTTCTTCTACCATAATATGTAAAAACATATCGTCTGATAGAGCCTTTAGTCTTTACAAATTTATGTCTTTGGTTTAGTTGCGAAATGCATAATGCAGTTTAGTTTTACTATCAGGCCATAGATTGCCAACAAAAATGAATTCACCAATAATGATCGAAAGAAAAGTATCAGGAATTAAAAAACTATTCCAGAGTAATCCCTTGCAAATTAATTTGATTCAATTAATCCCATAAAAGCTGTTAGAATTCCACACAGTGCTGTCATGATATGGTGACATAACGGAAAACTAGTAAAAATGTCAAAACTAGATGATGTTCCTTCAAATGCTAGCAATAAGTTAGATATGTCATTTTTTTTTTTTTTTTTTCAAAAAAGAAATTGATTTTTACATGTTTTCTTATACGACGCCAATCGGAGGTTCTTATGATATGTATTTTTCAACAATTTTAACGTATTTGAATAATTTTTCATTCGAATTGGCTTGACAGTTCATTGTCCCAACAGCTGTGTCTATGTCAAATTAGTCTAATAGCCATGGGTTTACACAAGACATAATGTCTTAATTCAGAGTTGTATTTCACTACCACATACATACTGGACAGATGTTAACAATTTTTGACGATGCAAACGCATTTTGGAGACAAACATAAGAACTTAAAAAAAGACAAAGTAATAAATTTATAAATTTATTTTTTTTTTTAATTTCTTTCTTTTAAATTTCTATTATTACCTCTATTGTTTTAGCAACTGTCTAAACGCCTGCTTAACACAGGAAACATCATTTTTCTTGACAACGAATCATGGTAGAAAAATACAGGTAGTCGCATCGACACAGCTGCTGTGACTATGACTGATTTTGAAATTGAAAATGTTGAATGAAAAATTATTGAAAATTGTAAAAATTGGTTAAAAATGTATATTGTCGTCGTATTAAAAACATTTAATAATCTACTAATTTTTGCTAAAAAATTAAAAAAAAAAATTGACATATCAATGTTCTCAAGCGTTGGTGCATCTACCTATATTCTTCTACCATGCAACGAATATTAAACTATGTTGTTCTGACTTATGTAAACACAGGCCTATAATTCAATATATCCCCATTTTTTTTAACTCCATGTTTTTAAGTATTTTCAAATTTTCATATAGTCAAAAGGTAAAATATTACCATAGCATTTGCAATTCATGGGGTCATTAAAGTTTTACACGTGTAAATGGTGTGTAATTTTCCATTACAAGAATTCAAAGGGACACAGACCCTCAAGTCAGACATGTTTTAAGCAAAAAAAAAAAAAAAAACATTTATAAAACCAGCAACAACAGCAATGTTTGCATGTTACAACAAGAAAAAAAATTACCCTAACACACTGCTAATTTTCATTTCTTGTTTGTTGTCTTTTTTTTTGTTCTTTTGTTTTCATTTCAAGCTAAACATGAAAATTGTTTACACAAAGTCATGCAATTTAACTAATCAACCAAGCACAACCGTACATAGTCATTGTCAAGGTAGCTGTTATTTTGTACTAAAATAACCGTTATCAGAACAAGAAACAACTGTGTAGTAGTTTTTTTTTTCTTTATTGTCTTATTTCTTCATTGGTTTTATATACACATTTATTAATTGCAACATTCTTTTTATTTATATTTTTTTTTGTTCAATTGCAGATTTTTGCGTTATTTTGTATAATTGTCTTAAATGCACACACGACGTACGCCTCGCTGTGGTCAAATTTTCACAATGAAAATCCACAACAGTCACTGCCCAGATGTAACGGTGCCAAGGGTTTGAAATATTTGTCCGGTGACGCCTTAACAGATTCCATGGATTGCATAGGACCGAATAATGCCCCATATCCAAGGTAAGTGGTGGAATTTTAAATCGATTTATTATATTCTGTAAATGTACAGATAGTATACATCATGACACAACCTGAAATGTAGTTTAACTCCAAAATAGTTTGGTAAAATGCAACTCTGTAGAAGGGTATTTTTTGTGACTTTAAACGTAGTAGGTTTACATAGAAATCTTTATCAGGATCAACTACCACAATAAAGGTGTACATAAAAAGCTTTTTTGACTGGCTTAAGTCACACAAAGGAGCTTTAGGTAGCCTTAAGGTGGGAATACATAAAACGTTTTTTCTTACCGGTTTAAGTCATCGGCTTCTTCGTAGAGGAACAAAAGAGTTTTAGGTTGACTAAGTTCGATTTTGGCCCTACGCTACTTTATTATTTTCCGAAGAAGCTAGCCGATGACTTAAAAGAGCGTTTTTATTTATTCTAAACTTTAGTTCTATTTCGACCGATAATTTATACTTGTTAACCATACGCCAGTCAAAAAAGCGTTTTATATATACTAACCTTAAATTTGACTATGGAAGCATATGATAAATTTTGAGTAAATTGTCAGTTATTACGATTAACCAGGTTAAAGATTTTCTATGGAAATGCGCTATCATCCCACAAAATTCTTGATTGTCGATGATTGTCATCGCGCATTTTTAGTCGAATCATCACAGGAATTTTTCTTTTATGTACATAATCCGTCATTCGAGGACTAAACAACAACTTAAATCTCTTTTTTTCATAAGTCTCTTTTTTTCAATACGGACAGTAACAACGGCTTTACGTATGAAAAAAGACGCCAAAACGATCGACTATTTATTATTTTTGTACAATATGTCACTCGTCATACGTAAATATTTAAGATATGAAAATAGATTCCTTTTTTTTAAATAACAAGTATGTAAAGGCGCTATTATTCCACAAAATTAACAATGTCATGCTAATGGTTTATAATGTGCTATATACCGGTAGAAGATTGTCATCACGCATTTTAAGTCGAATTATTACTAGATTTTTTAGCACAAGTTTTCATTTAAGTACAGATCTCGTCATTCGAGGACTAAACAAGAGCTTACAGCACAGAGAAAGTTTCCCTAAGTTAAAGGCTTTAAAATCTCTTTTTTCGTAAGTTTAAGTCCAAAAAAAAAAATAAAAAAAATATTCAATACGGATAATGGCTACATTTTTCCGTTTGAAAAAACCTAGGTCAGTCCTAGGGGTCGAACAGTGAGTTGAGAGGTGAACATAAACACAAACAAAATAAAACGACACGAACACAACATAGAGTTGCATTTTCCCAGTTTCCTTGAAGTTGAGCGACCTTTCTTATTCGCAATCAATAGCTAGAGGATTTACGGACGGAATGTCACTTATATTAACCATATGTATCTCAATGTGTATGTCAAAATTGTCATTTTAAATATGAATCATAATTTTTGTTATTACACACTAACATATATTTTTTATTTACCTTGATTTTCTAGCATTTTATAAAAATTATAATACTTAATGGATCATTTTTTATAGCAAATATGATTTTATTTATGTATTTTCACAAAACAAACTACATTTTTGATTAAATTATAAGTTTCTGATGAATATAGGGCTCGCTGTAATCGAAAAAGTACGTACATATCATGGTAGAAGAATATAGGTAGACGCGTCGACACAGCCTGCTGGGACAATGAACTGTCAAACCAATTTTGGAATTGAAAAAGTTGAATGAAAAGTTATTTACATTTGTAAAAATTGTTGAAAAACGCGAATTATAATAGCCTCCGAATGACGTAGTATAAGAAAACATATAAAATTCTACTTATATTTGAAAAAACATTTAAATTTTTTTGACATATCAATGCTCCCAAGCGTTGATGCATCTACCTGTATTCTTTTGCCATGGTACATATGTACCATGGTAGAAGAATACCGTTGCATAAACGCTTGAGAACATTGATATGTCAAAATTTTCAAAATGTTATTTCAAAAAAAAGTAATTTTATAACATTTTTCTTTACAACACAACAATTTTTCATTCAATATTTTGAATTACAAACTTGATTTGACAGTTCATTGCCCCATGTATTTCAGAACTGAAATGTCGCCCATGCATTACACGATATGTGCAACTTCTACACCTGGAACATTTGACATTACATATGTAAAAAATCATTTCGTCTGATAGTGCCTCATAGTACAATGAAATAAAGGTATCCTTATTTCAAATTAGCATTCCCAGCTCTTCATTTTCTGTAATTTACCTTGTCAAATTTAAATGCATAAAAAACAGTTTCCGTCTCTGAATTTGTGTTTATACAATGGATTTATGAATATAGATTTTGACAATGAGATGTTGTCAAATGTAGAAATTTGAAAAAATTGTAAACATATGATTACATGATTTTACTTTCTTACGTGTACCATGTAGTGACTTTATCTGAATGAGTTGTAAAAACACTAATTGTGATTGGAATCATAGTACAAAAGATAAGCAATAGTAAAAAAATTAAAAGGCAGATAGCAATTATGTGAAAGTAACTCTATTGATAGAACTTCAAAAATAAAATATCACAAATTAGATTCTACCAAGTTTTTCTCAATTGCAGCATTTTACACCTCAAAATGACATAGTCATTTATCAAATACCAAGGTTATATGTCACCAAAGTTCGTTATAATTAACGTATCATAAAAACTTATACATACATATGTATGTGTGCATGTATTTAATTACTTCCTTATTTAATTTCTATACGTTTTCACCTTTTATTTATATTATTGTTTTTTTTTTTCATTTCAGTGCGGCAGTGGCGCGGACATTTGCCAATTGGAACGGAAATACAAGACGTGGTCGCCAAACCAAATTACCCACAACATTAGATCCCTCCATTACAACCAGTGCTCTGTTGAGGGCATACAATGAAGTCAACAATGAAGATATCGATAGTTACAGAGTTGGTAAGTTGGGTTGTATTGACTTTATTTAAGGACCGATATTATTTAATTACTTGTAATATTATGTTTGTTAGAAATAACGTAGGCAAAATATTGCTGAAATGCTTAGTGTTTAAGTATAAGTTCATTTTACATAGGTGCTTTCATTAAGAGTTTAAAGGTGAGAATCCATAAAACGCCTTTTGACTGGCTTGAGTCTTGTTTGAGTGAGAGCATAAACAGGTTGAAGTCTTCGCATGGCATATTTTGTGACATGTCATAAAGGGATGTCAGAGACGCACTCTGATTCTGCCGCCGTTTCCCTTTATAATTTGACCTCAATATGCCTAGCCATGATGCCAAGCTGCTTATGTACTCTTTGTACTCCAGAATTAAAAAATTGACTATTGCTAGAATGTCATGCGCATACTTCATCAGAAATTTAAACTTAATATATTTGAAAATTTGACACATTATAGAATTAAGAAGATAAAGTCATGCAGTCATATGTTTACAATTTTTTTTTCAAAATTATTCATTTGACAACATCTTACTGTCAAAATATATATTTATAAATCCATTGTACATACACAAATCAGAGATGGGAACTCGTTTTCTATGCAAGGAAATTTGACATGGCAGGGTCCGTACAAAAACGATATAAAAATTGTTTTTAGACAATTTACTCCGTGGTTTTCTTTTGGCAATATGCCGAGGTAATATAGAATTTTTGACAGTTACCATTTTGGTTTGTTGTTGAGTTGAAGATCAGCTGTTTTATGGGTGGAGGATTATGAATCTCCATGCTGGTGTTTGCAAAATTTTGTCTCTCTTTCTTAAGGCGGCGGTACATAAGCAGCTTGACATCATGGCTAGACATATTAATGTCAAATTATAAGGGGAAACGACAGCAGGACTCGAGTGCAGCTCTGGAATCCCTTTATTGTATGTCAAAAAGTAGGTCATGCGAAGACATAAATCTGCTTATGTACTCACACCTTAATATTGGTACCATGATAGAACTAAGAAGGTAAAGTCATATAATCATATGTTAACATTTTTTTTTCAAATTTATACATCTGACAACCATTGTATGCACACAAAATCAGAGATGGGAACTGTTTTTTATGCATGGAATTTTGACAAGGTAAATTACAGAATAATGCAAAGCTGGATACTACTATTTGAAATAAGGTTACCGTGATTCAACCGCATCATGCCTTCGTCATGAAAAAAACTGGAAGACATACTGTAAATATTATTTACTGTCGACACACTATTCTACATTCTCTTCATATCCATTTCCTATTCGTGGCACACTCTTTAAAGAATTGTTCATTACTTTTAAATAAGAACAATTGCTTTAATTGTTTTCCTTCTCCGGTCAATTTTATTCCACTTCAATATTCGCTTTTTCTATACGAGAATATGCAAATCATTTTAACGAATCTGGTCATATACTACAATTTTCTGATGCCAATGAGAGTACAACATAGAATATTAAAGTGTGTCAACACACTGTCCTACTTTTTAATGAAAACAAAGAGGACGTGGAATCGCCTATGATAATCAATGCCATAAAATATCAGGCCGTTAATTGTTTTTTGTTTACGCAGAATTACAGAATAACTTTGTGCAATCATATACTTACGTATGTCATTGTCAAAATTCATACTTATAAAGCCATTGTAGATACATATATTATGAAAAGCACTGTCAGAACCATGGTACAATAAAAGTTAAATAAATAAAATTAAATTTTGTGTCCGACTTCTCCCAATTTTGTGTATGTATTTATTGTTTTGAAAAATAAAAACAAAATATGTTCGGCAGACACGTACATTGCGGCTCGCGCAAAAAAAAATTGAACAGTTTGGATCATATTTTTAAGAGCAAATCCAGGAATTTTATTCATTTTGCGCTATTTAACTCATTTTAAAGATGAGGAAATATATGAACAAAAAAATAAAACATCTTGTTGCAGGGCTGTATTTCTGTAGTTTTATGAATCTGTTCTACCTCCTTATTGTACCATGTGTCAGAACTACGATAAAAAATGCATTAATTTGTATTTTGAAAAATAATTTTGACAGATGTACACAGTTTCTCTTAAAAAAAGCCATTATGTCCGTTGTTCTTATCAGTGCTTATTGAAAATATTTTCGTTCAAATACCCATAAAAATCGTTCAAATAAAAATAAAAATCATTCAAATATCCATAAAAATCGTTCAAATACCAATAAAAATCAAGAAAGAAAAAGTATGAAAATCATAAATTATAAATGTTAAGAATGAACGCGTGATTCAAATTGCTATAAGAACATGGTATTATGCTATTCATAAAACCTATTGAAGATTAAACCACTGGTTTTATTAGAGCCCGTGAATTTCTTGTATTCATTCCTAGGCATGATAGAAGAATACAGGTAGATGCATCAACGCTTGGGATCGTTGATATGTCAAAACATTTTCAATGTTTTTTCAAATATTACTTATAATACGACATTCGGAGGTTATTATAATTCACGTTTCTTCAACGATTTTTACAAATTTTAATAATTGTTCATTAAATATTACCATTAAAAAATTGGTTTGACAGTTCATTGTCCCAGCAGCTGTGTCGATGCGTCTACCTTATGGTAGAAGAATATAGGTAGATGCATCAACGCTTGGGAACATTGACATGTCAAAAATTTTGAAATTTTTTATCGAATATACGTAGATTTTTATAAGTTTTCATATACAACGTCAATCGGAGGTTATTATAATATGGGGTTTTCAACAATTTTTATAAATTTGAAAAAATTTTCATTCAAAAATTTTAATTGCAAAATTTTTTTGAATTGTCCCAGCTGCTTTGTCGATACGTCTACCTGTGTTCTTCTACCATGGTCTACCTATATTATTCTACCATGTTCCTAGGAGTATATAAATGCCGCTCAGCTGATGTTTGTTTACGTATACATACAAAACCAAAAAAAGAATTCAAAAAGCCAAAAATGATGCAACAAAAAAATATAAATGGAGATAATTGGTATTGGAAAATAAATGTATAATGAAGAGCATAAATATTTTTTCTTGGTTGTTGTTCCAATGCACTATGTAAAGAACGCCTTTGCGAAAACATTTGCGACTTTGGAGTGTACGGCAATACTAATACCATGGTATAAAAATACAGGTAGTCGCATCGACACTGCTGCTGAGACAATGAACTGTCAAACCGATGTTGAAATTGAATATCAAGGTAGAATCAAGGAGGTAAAGTCATGCAAACATATGTTTACAATTTTCTCAAAAATTATTCATTTGACAACATCTCATTGTCAAAATTTGTATTTATAAATCCATTGTACACTTAAAACTTAACATAAAAACGAAGAATTGTTTCATTTAATCAAAGCAAAAACGTCAGGCGGGTTTATTAAATTTTTCAAAAATATGCCACTCGTCTTGCGTAAATAGTTATGAAATTTATATTAAAATTATTTAAAAACCATAGATGAAAAAGGGTTGCAATTAACGAGTGACAAAAGTTGAAGATTCTGTCACGTAAAGGAACGGAACTAATACTAGGTGACGCAAAAATATAGAAAATTTGAAGGTGAGAATACATGAATTGCGTTTTTTACTGGCTGGCTTCTACGCAAAATACAGGGTAGAAGAATATAGGTAGTCGCATTGACACAGCTGCTAGGTCAATTAACTGTCAACCCAATTTTAAAATTAAAAATATAGAATGAAAAATCATTCGAATTCGTTAAAATTGTTGAAAAATGCTTATTATAACAACCTCCGATTGACGTCGTACATATAAAAATCTACTTATTTTTGAAAAAAAAACACATTTTAGAATTTTTTGACATTCAAGTGTTGATGCATATACCTGTATTCTTCTACCATACAAAATAACAAAGGAGCGTAGGGTACACAAATATAAATTATGGGTCTAAATTGAACTAAGTCCTTTACGAAGAAGTCAGCTTTTATGTATTCTCATAGTACGTTTATATATATGCGGGTTAAATTAAATTGTCATATCCATTACATTTACTTCAAATAAATCCTCTCAATATAGGTTAACCCTACAAAAAGTTCTAACGTAAACATGGCATCAGATTAGTAAAAATGGTTTAAACTTTTTAGCAAACTATGCATTTCCCATAAGTATCTTCAAATATATATTCTTTAAACGTTCAAATATTTAAACATTAAATTTGTTGAAAAATGCATATCAAAAAAACCTCAGATTGACGTCGTAAAGAAAACCTATAAAAAGTCTACTTTTGAAAAACATTTTAAAATTTTTTGTCATATCAATGTTCACAAGTGTTTATGCATCTACCTATATTCTTCTACCATGGCAATATAACAAATGAGTGTAAAGTCAACCTAAAACTCCTTTACGAAGGAGTCAGCCTTTTATATATCCTCAACTTACGAAAAATTATTGAAACTTTGTATCAAACTATGAATTTTCACAAAAGTAGATTCAAATATATATTCTTCATGTATTTTAGTCAAATTTTGTCAAATTTTATTGAATAAAAAACAGGTTCCCATCTCTGATTTCTCTGGATTTATAAATATAAATGTTGACAATGAATAATTTTGAAAAAATGTAAATATAATATTGCATGACTTTACCTTCTTAATCCTAGCATGAATATTATGTAAAAAAAACTTAGCATTTGTATAAAATGTTGATATTATACCTTAAATTTCTAATTTAAATATTTTAAAAAAATCTAATTTCTAAAAACTTCTTTTAGGACGATCTGCCAAACAAACCCCACAAGTTGATCAATGCAGAAGTACACCGGCCCGTTTGTGTAAAACACGTTACAATACCACAGCTCCCATGTACGGTGTCAGTTTGACCTCTGGCCAGCCAGTGACAATTGTTCAAAAATTCCCTGACCTATTGCAACAAGTTGTGTTTGAAGTGTGCGAGTAAGTAAACATTAAAAAATTCTTAAACCTAACAAACGTATTCTAATATTGATCCGTTTTTTGTTTGTTTTTAGATCATCAGAATGTGATGTTGTCAGGGGTGAATGTACCCAAACATATGTGCCTTATTTGTTCTTGGTTATACCCTTGGGACCGGTAACGCTTACAGGTCAAGATTATGTGTTGGTCGAAAGTGGTTGTGTCTGCAAACCGAAATACTCGACAGGAGCTGCCCAGGAACCCAATATGATACCATAGAATAGAAATAAATAGAATTGCATAAAAAAGAAGCACAAGTTTTTTTTCAGTTAATATTACTCACTACTACCGGCAACATAATGCCATTTTGAGATGGCCTTCAACCTAGAGTACTAAATTTGGCGTTCACAAAAGTACCATAGAAATGTTAGATTGCCTTTTCTCTCAAAATTCGACTAAAGATAAATGTCCGCAAAATGTTGTACTTCCTTGACAACTAAGGAAATTATTATTGTTATAATTTCATAGTTCATTAAGAAAGTATAAACAAACTATTTAATGAAATATTTATGTATGTGTAAATGTTGAATACATTAATATTTTCTACATTTAAACATAGTGTTTAAGTAACGTGTTCTTCAAGCTGTTCCAAAAATATATTTTGGATACTTAGATTTTATTTTCACATTAAAAATATGAAATCCCCCTTTTCTTTTTTGTTATAGAAAACTTATTTATTTCTTTCATCATCGCTATTTGTTTCCAGTTACGACATTTTTCAATATCCAACGTCTTTCGAATATGGAAAATTCCATTATTTTCTAAATGTCTTCCTTCCAGTGTTGAACAATGTCGTTTTTGGAAAAGAAATGTATGTCCTATATATTAACATATTTATATAATTAAATCAAAATGATATAACATTTTTATAATTTAGTGTTTAGAAACATTTACAACTAAGTAAAAATACTACATAATTATAATTAATATCAAAAAACGCAGTGTCGCATTTATTTTGTAAATTCAATGAAAACATAAGATAATCAATAATTTATTAAATAAATATGTAAAAAAACATGTTGAAGGATCTTTTAATTGTTGAAATAAGTGTCTAAAACCCAATTAGCATAATTAGCAGATATTGATAAAATATTCAGTTTAGGATTTAAAAACTCCAGTCGATTTAAAATTTAAACTTTAAATTGTCAATACCATTACATATGCCTCAAACAAATCTTCATAACGAAGGTTAACCCGGAAAAAGATCGAACGTAAACATGCCTTTAAGCAAAAATACTGAACATTTGGTTACAATTGTCACTGAAAGTTGTCTTTTGACGTAAAAGTCAGGTAAATGAGATCGAAATGTCCTTACATACTACTTCCTTACAGTACGTTTATACATAAATGGGTTAACCGATTGGATTTGGATTAAAATTGTCATATCTATTACTCATACTTCAAATAAATCCTCTCAAAGTCGGTTAACCCCCCACAAAAAGTTCTAACGTAAACATGGCATAATGCACATTGCAGTTGGACATACGGCAATGTTAAAGCATTACCGTTAACTTATTGCCCCATTGCATTTTCTTGAACTAACAAAGTTTCATGGTAGATGGCGCTCGTCAGTTCAATATTTAAGGTATGTTAAGACTACGTTGTTAGTAGTGTTTTCATGCGTTTACATGTTAATTTGTACAAAGTGTTACTGAATGATGTTCGTTTAGTCAATCGCCTAATACAAAATAACTTTACTGGATATTTTTTACGGAGACCATGGTAGAAAAATACAGGTAGATGCATCAACGCTTGGGAACATTGATATGTCAAAAATTTTGAAATGCTTTTTCAAAAATAAGTAGATTTTGACATGCTTTCTTATACGACACCAATCGAAGATTGTTATGATATTCGTTTTTCAACAATTTTAACGAATTTAAATAACTTTTCATTCAAAATTTTAAATTTCAAATTTAGTTTGACAGTTCATTGTCCCAGACTTAAGATTTGCAATAGATAAATGTTTCTTCTTCTTAAACTATTTGCTGAAATCTTTGAAAAATATAAATAAATTTATTGCTTTTGTGGTAGAATCAGGACGGTAGACACAAATTCTCTGAAGGTTTTTAATAAAAAGATTACATTTTGTCGCTGCTATGGTAGAAAAATACAGGTAGTCGCATCGACACAGCTGCTGCGACACAGTCACTTATTTTCCAAAACATTTTAAAAATTTTGACATATCAATGTTCCCCAGCGTTGATGCATCTACCTATATTCTTCTACCATGGGTAGAATTAACTATTAAAAACAGTATTTTCGGCGGAGCCTAACTTTAAATACCGTCCACCATATGGAATATGGAAATTTTCAAAAAAAAAAATCCATTAACAATTCTCTTAAAAACTTAAGAATGCAGAATATAGGGAGTCACAGTTATATTGGGGTCCATACGAGAACGTGGATATACACAGGCAATTTCCTAATACCCAATAATAATAATGTCGCAAAAACATCAATATACTGAATATATAGAGGTACAGATATGGATGCTATGCAAAAATCTGGATCTGCATAGGCAATCAGCTAAGTACCGAAAAAAGGGAGGTACTAACATATGGTGCTATACGAAGACGTGGACCCGCATAGACAATTTGAAACAATTCCGGTGAATCATGTAGCTAAAATCCTCAAAATACCGAATATTGGGAGGTACCGATATTGGGGGAACTATTGGAAAACATGGATCTGCAGAGACAATTTTCTGTCACAGGCTGTAGTATCCATTATTTAGTGCAAATACGAAATTTGAAGCCATTCCGGCGAATAATGCCGCTGAAATTACCAAGATGCCGAATGCAGGGAGGCACCGTTATATGGGGGCTATACGAAGACCTGGATTTGCATAGATAATTTTCAGTCACAGGCTGTAGTACCTATTAGGAACTTCAAATACGAAATTTGATACCATTCCGACGAATAATGTCGCTAAAATCATCGAAATACCGAATATAGGGAGGTACCTTAACGTGGACCTATTTAGCTCATTTTCTATACCAAAAGTCCTGCAGACCAAACACATATTTAAGAAAAATTTTATCAACCAACGAAAGCTGGAGTGATTTCCACAGACGAACTGATGGACATCGCTAAATCGACATTGAATTTTATGCTGATCGAGAATATATATACTTTGCGGGGTCTAACATGTATATTTCGAGGTGTTGCAAACGGAATGACAAACTTAATATACCCTTCACAATATGTTGGAGAATATAAAAAGGTACAGACATGCAATCATATGTTTCCAATTTTAATCTTTTAACAGCATCTTCATGCCACAGAAAATGATATCCCGTTTTCATATAATTTCTTTATACAGATTAAGTTCACATTATGGTGTTCTCATAATCATTTGTGAATGTAACTGGGTCTCATCATTTTTTCACAACGGTATCTTAATTTTTGTTTAAAAGGGATAAACAAAACGAATATGTAATTAATTTCGTGAAATATGTCTTCAATTTTGGTCTTTAACATAAAATAAACTATTTGCGTTATACATTTTTTTATTTGACTATATTTTGTGGTATTGCCATATTATCAATATAAAATATAACAACATAAATTCAGCAAACTTTACTTTAAAAGATAAAGTTAAAATGGTCTGATCTTTTGCTTATTGGGCAGTTTGTACTTGAACTTGTAATAACGAAAAACAATTTATCTGTTCGACAACATCAGTTTTTATCTATCACAAAGATGTAATAACCGGCCTATGTGTGCAAAACCTAGTCAAAACATGTGGTCTTGTGTAAACGCCTTTTAACATTTGCTTTGTATTGGCGATTTTCTATGTTGACGTTTTTTTACGGCAAAACATGACGTTTTTGTTATTGCATTTAGTTGGCAACGCTACGCACTCAACGAAACATTCGTTTAATTTTCTTTTCGGTGCGTTCTCCAATTTTTGCTTGTGCCGTATAGGAAATTTTTAAAATTTTTATAGAATTCACAATATTTTCAGGAAAAATATTGTGTCTATTGGCCAAGAAAAACAAATATAATGGATCAGTTGACATAATTCAATGAAATTGTGTTTAGTTATTTGCAAGAAAGCGTATAAAATCATCGGTAAAGCCACAAAACGAAAAAGTACACATATTTTTCTCCTCTGCGGACGATATTTTCTCATTACCTTTTGATGCTGTTTCTTAGCCGTGTGTTGTCGTTGCTGCGGTCGTCGTAGTTGTCACGATAAGAGAAGCAGCAAAGGCAAACAGTCAATTTTGGTTTTATATTTTGCACCACCACGCCGTTTTGGCGTTTGGAGTTCAACCCGGTTTTTTCTCTGCGTCCACAAAAGAGTGGGAACTGGATGCATGGTGTTTTTTTTAATATCAATATTGCCAATTCTTGTGTGAAAAAAAGAATGTGAAAAGTGTGTTACAAAATAAAACAAGAAAAGCAAAAAACAAAAAATCAATGCGTTTGCCGAACGAAATAAAAAATAAGAAAAATTGTACATAATAACTTATTGATAAATAAAGAAGAAGCAGAAGCACCATACATAACACATTCTTTGCTTCGTTTCAAAAGCCAGGAACACATATTTCCAATAATATCTTCATTTGCGTTCCCAAATCCTCTTTTCCTCGTATCCATCTTCCGGTTATCGGCGGCTTGGTGTGTGTGTGTTGTGTTCTTTTTATTTATTGCTTAAACGTTTGCAACACTAAAGGGTGACAAGATGATGTTCACAGTAAGTTGGTTATGTTAATGCATTTGTTATTGTTTTTTATATATATATATTTTAAGTACCTATTTCTAGCAATAATTAACTTTAAGACCCATAAGTTCTTATTACTTTGCGATGGATGACTAAGGAGAAAACAGAAAATGTGTCAATTAGGAACTGAGGCTGAGGTAGAACACAAATATTCTTTTGAAACTAGGGCAGATTCACGTAGCCAATTCATTTATAACAGAGGCAGACGGTCGTCTAAGCCAATCACTCGCTAACAACAAAAACTCTGTCAAATTCCCACTGATTTCAAATATAAACACCACTAAGACCGTAATAGACGTTAATTCAAAATCATGGGTGGTATTATAGTCTACACTAATCCTACGGAAAATTAATGAAACGATGGATTCTTTGAAACCAAGAAAAGGATTTTTATACCCTACACCACAAGGTCGTCAGGGTATTATGTCTTTGTGCTGGCAAAAGGAAACGAGGATCGAATTCTGTGTCGATAAGGTACAGGTCGCATTTATTGCCCGATTCAGATAAAATTTTGCATCAATAATTTGCTTGACTCAAGGACGAGCCCTATTGAAATTGGAGATAATCGGTCAAAATTTAGATATAGCTCACATTATTTAACTTCGTCCGATATTAGCCCCTATGGGATGGAATTTGGTACTTACGACCAATTTGAGTCTAGAAACAAGTATGTCAAATTTGGTGAAAATCGTTTTATATATATCTATAGCTTCCATATATATTGCTAATGCGATTTATTGAATTTGTCCTGGACATCCGCAATTTTATATATCGGGGGAATTTTATATATTTTATCAGCTCAGAAATACCTTTGGTAAATTTTATGGAGATCGGTTGAGATTTGGATATAGCCCCCATATATATCTTCGACCGATTTGCCTTTTACAGTGCACCAAACTTGTTATATTAGCACCACCACTTACGACCAAATTGAGTCTAGAAACAAGTATGTCAAATTTAGTGAAAATCGGTTCAGATATAGCTATAGCTCCCATATATATAGCTCATCTAATTTATTGAATTTGTCCTGGGCAGCCGCAATATGCACTCCGTAGTAACGATATTCGGGGAAATATATAAAATACAGCTCCTTACTGGTTAATTGCACTTATTAGCTAGCTCAGTCCTTTGGCGAAATTACTGATAATGTGGGTTCTATGTTTGAAAGAGATTTATGTAATAGAACAGTAGCGTAATAAGAGTTATTTTCGAAAGCCAAACTAACCGTATGCTTTCGTTGCGGTACTGGCTTGGGAAAACTTAAAAACCATAATACCTATGTTGTATAAAAATACCCCCCTCTAAGCGTGTGAGGAACGACCTACAGGATCTAGAAAGGGAGATCCAACGCCGTAGGAAAAAGTCTGACAGCAATTCAAATTTGTAGTTATATTGAAGCATACTTTGCAGCTGATGAACAGCGACAAACCAGGGTATTTTTGTCCCAAGTAAATTTCGCTTGCTTAAAACTACAAAACTACAAACTGACTTGTGTCACATACAAAAAACTAATTTCTGGCTTACCAAAAAAAGGAAGGAACTTTGACTTCAGTTCCTTATAACTATTTTCAGCACATCCCTGTTCTACTCTACTGAAGTCAAGTTGCGATATCTCTATTAGATAACTTGGCAAATTCCTTTTCTTTACAGAGTATTTGCAAGTTCACAATAATCATCTGAATACTTGAAATCCGTCCTAGAACCATTAAGACTCATGTTTTCCTTATTCAACAAATTATGGTAAAAGCCACATTGTCTCTGCATCGAAATTAAATGTTTCCACACATAGGAAGTGTTTAAAATATTAGTTTTGCAATGTCTCAACTTTCAGATTTCTCGAATGAAAAATAGGAATACATCAATAAGTATTGAACGTATCGCTAGTGTAACTATAAGAACTTTATTCTTTTCATATCCATATTTCATAATTGTACAAATTAAGATGTTACCCAGTAATTTCACTCTCTAACGTTTCGTTCTAGGGCACAACACAACAGCAAGATACTCGCTTTAGCGACAAAGAGAAGAAACTTATGAAACAAATGAAATTTGGTGATTGTCTAAATAAACGTGTAGACATGTCCAAAGTAAAATTGGACGTTTTACGGCCGTGGATTAGCAAGAAAATAACAGAAATTCTACACATTGAAGACGATGTTGTTGCCGAATTTGTTTACAATCAATTGGAGGAGGAGAAATTTCCGTGTCCAAAGAAAATGCAGATTAATATGACTGGCTTTTTGAATGGACCAAATGCACGACAATTCATGGGTGAGTTGTGGGCACTTCTTTTGTCTGCACAGGAGAGTGAAACAGGCATACCGGCTGAATTTATACAACAGAAAAAAGACGAAATTCTCAAAAGAGATGAAGAAAATCGACATCGTGAACGTAACGATCGATCACGATCAAGATCTCGTGGTCGCTCTAGATCTCGATCCAGATCCCGGTCACGCTCCCGATCCCGTGATCGTAATCGGCGTGGTCGTGGTGCATCACGAGGCTCAGGTGGCGGCAGTAAAGAACGCACCCTAACACAAAAGGAACGAGAACAACAGCTGCCACCAAGTACCTTGAGTGCCATAGAACAGGTACGATCCCATCTGTCGGCAAAAAATAACTCTTCCAATTCAGATGATCGCAAAAATAAAGAAAACAATGACAAGTCTACAAACAATACGGATTCTTTGAGAGAAACGTCGAAAAAGGATCGTTCACGTTCCAAATCAAGGGAGAAGAAGGCGGGCAGTAGAGACAGATCTCCGCGCAGAGGAAGATCCCCACGTAAACAATCTCGTGAGCGTTCGAAACAGAGAGATCGTTCGTCTCGTGATCGTTCCTCACCAACACGTAACAAACGAAACGACTCGAGAGAGAAGGATCGTAGACGTGGGTCCAGATCGCCTAGGCGGCGCTCACCGGAACGTCAAAGAAAACGTTCACGTTCGAAGGATCGTAGCGCAAGACGACAAAAGTCACGCTCTGCATCACCGCCAAAACGGCGAGATCGTTCCCGCTCTAGAAACCGTAAATCTCGTTCTAGATCTTTGGATAAGAAAGCTCCCAAACTGAGTCCGACTCCACGTAAATCTATATCGCCCAGGCGTAGGCGTTCCATTACACGGGATTCCAATTTGGCTCAGAACGGCCACGACAAAAAGGGTTCAGTAACCAAAAATCCCCGCAATCCATTCGCCACAAAACCCCTACCACAAAAACGTTCTTTGTCACGTAGTCGCAGTCGCAGTAGAGTGTCGCAGGACCGCAAACCTCGTTCACCACAACGTATGTCGCGTTCAAGGTCGCGTTCTAGAACTCATAGTCGATCACGAACACGTTCAAGATCTCAGAGCCGTTCACGAACACGTTCTAGGTCCCGCATGCGTTCCTCCCGTTCTCGTACCCGATCGCGTTCACGTTCCCGATCTAGATCACGATCCCCATCCCGCATTTCGCGCTCCAGATCACGTTCGCGCTCTCGTTCATCCCATATTTCCAATCATAAGCGCAATAGTAACCGACGCTCTCGTTCCGCTAGTCGATCACGTTCTCATGGAACACCACAGGATAACTTTGAGTTGAAGCGCAATAAAAACAGTATACAAAACAAGCGTCAATATCGCAATAATAGAGACTCATCGGCCAGTTCATTTGATAGGGAAATGGGTGGTAGAGGAGGAGGACCTGGCGGAGGTGGAGGAGGTAAACGTGGTGAATCACGTAGCCGTGGCGGCCGTGGTGGTTACATGCAAAATCGTCGCCGTTCTCCGCCACGCTTTGATGATAGGCGACAACAACGGTCACGTTCCCGTCGAAGATCTCGTTCACCACGTCCTAGATCGTTTTCACGCAATCGCTCCAGATCACCAAGAAGGTAAATAAGGAAACCCAAAAAGCATACTCGTATGTAAAATTTTAATGGTTTTTATTTGTTTTTACTAGGTTTAATAGGGGTAGACGATCCCCTCCTAATTTCCGCGGCAATAATAGAGGCAATCGCGGTCGTATGAATCAGTGGGGTCGTCGCAGTCTAAGCCGAGATCGTGGCGGACCAGGGGGAGGAGGAGGCGGAAGAGGTGGTGGCATGATGGGCGGCGGTAATCGTTTTGATCGCCGCTCGCCCCAAAGACGTTTTTCAAGGGAGCGGCGTTCGTCTCCCAGGCAGTATCGAAACTTTTCACCACAGAAGCGATATTCGCCCCAGCGACCATCAAGAGATCGTCGAAACAATTCTATAGAACGTCGTCCATTATCCCCTGTACGAGTATCACCGCAGCCTAATAAACGACGTTCTAAATCGACCAGCACAAACTGGGAAGAAGATGGACAATCGGATGAGGCCAAGATACCAGCAACTGTATTTGGACGAACCATCGACTCTAGATTATCACCACGCAAACCAGTCATAAGCAAAAGGGAGAAACGAGAAGAGAAACGTGAGGAAAAACGTAGGCGTGAATCGAACAAATCACGCGGTGAAAGTACAGGTATGATCAAAAGAAAAAAAGCTTATTGTGAAATATGAAACACTTGATAATAATTACGATTTATTTGCTTTTTCAGGACGTTCATCTGTGGAATATTGTGCTCCCCCAGTCAAACTAATTGATTTGTCTCACGAAGAACAGAATGACAAACATCATAGGTCTAGACAAGAACCGACACCAGTTAAGACTAAACCTGAACCCTCACCAGCTCCGGTCGAAACTACCAAACCCAAAAAATCTGCACCTCTACCCCCTGCACGTCGTGATCGCTACAGTGTAAGCTTGTCAAGAACACCGTCACCGTTCCTTAAACCACATGAGCGCAAACAAGCAGCAGCAGCAACGGAAAATCCGGCTGCTGCCGCTAACCTTAAGAAATCTGCTGCTGCGGACAAAAAATCTGCCAAGAAATCTCGACAAGAAAGTGATTCAAGTTCCTCTGATAGTTCAGATGATAGTGAAGACAGCGATGACGATGATGACAGCTCAGACGAAGAGGCCGAACAGCAAAAGAATAAATTACGTAAAGAAAAGGAGAAGGCAGCGGCGGCGGCTCTTAAGCAACAAAAAGAAGCAGCCAGTAAAAAGTCGGCTCCAGTTGTTGCAGCCAAATCCAGTAGAGATAAATCTGAAAAACAAGAAATAGCTGCAAAATCTTCATCTGCCCGGAAACAACAAAGCTCTTCAAGTGACAGTGATTCAGAAGACAGTGAGGATGAAAGACAACGGCGTAAGAAAGCCAAATTAATGGCTGTCAAAAATTTGGGAAATAACAAGGAACCAGCGAAGCCGACAACAGCGAATGTTAGTAGCAATAATAATGATGATGAACGAAGACGAGACAAATCTGGAGATAAACGTAAAGAAATGCCAACTGGTGCTGGCGATATATCTGCCTCTTCATCCTCCAATAAACGGAGTAAGGCAAATGCGGACATTTTGCCCATATCTTCTAAAAAGTCTGTGCAAAAAACAGAAACAAAACGACAAAAATCAGATTCCGAAGTTGATGAAAATGACAGAACGACAGAGGCTGATGCAAAGTCCAAATTGGGTTCACGCAAACGAACGCATTCACTGACAAGTCATAAAAAATCTAAAAATGATTCCTCCGATTCTGAGGATCAACATGCGGTAGCCAAAAAGAAACGTAAGAAGTCCAAAAAGACTTCCAAACGCAATTCTGATGATAGTTCATCCGATTCCGAGGACGAGTCGAGCAAAAAGAAAAAGCATAAGAAACACAAGAAGCACAGCAGTAAGAAGAGTAAAAAACACAAGAAACACAAGAAACGTAACAAAAAGGCTGATACATCCTCCAGTAGTGATGACGACGATGCATCTGAGGTGACGTATAAAAAAGATGACAAAGCCTCCTCATCCAAAGCTGCAACCGCCACAACAGCTTCCCTACTGCTGGGCGGGGGTATCAATGAAGACCTAGAAAAACAATTAAGAGAACGTGCTCTAAAGTCTATGAAGAAGTTAGATTAGCTTAACTTTATGTGTTAAGATGTGACACACAAACAACAAAACAGAACCTTTTCATTTTGAAAACAAAAAAGTTTTTTTTGTTTTTCTCTTTTATTTGTAAACATTTCTTAAGGACATATACATAAACTGTAAGCACCAACAAACATAAACACACACTCACGCATACACCAATCCAACCAGTCTCTAATGCAATCATCCGTTCCACATCATACTGTGTGTTTAGTGCTAAAATTTAGCTTTTAAAAAGTAATTTGCATACGACGGAATACCATTTGTTCTAATGCAGAGCGGTGCAAAATTTGAAGAATTTTTTTACCTTACTAAATCGAAGTAAATGTTAGACCAAAATTATTTTAAAATATGGTCTAAGGCCCGGTGGACAAGAAGAAGAAGAAGAATAAACTCATGGTACTTTCCTCAACGTCACATTAGGACAAAGATTCTTTGCGTTTCAATTGACAAATTATTTGAATTCTAAAAACGCTTCACACCACCACCACTCTTTACTTGTTTAGACCTGATGATATTTTTGTTTGAAAGTCGTATAAACAATTATTAACACTTTTTGCATATTTTTGTTGGTATTATATTATGGTCTAAATTTTACACATGAATCGGCCATATTTGTCTTGGATGGCCAAGTAGCATTATTTTTTTCGGAAAAAACCCTCTCTGCAAAGTCAAACTTTTTATATGCATTATAACGAAACAAAAACCATTGAAGAATTTTTATCCATTTCTTCGTTTTTCTTTTTTTTTAGTTTTTAACATTTAAGTAGTTTCTTAAATAAATAATTACACGAGTAAAAACAAAATTCGTCTTTATATAAACTAAAAAACAATTTAAAAATATTAAAAAGAAAACAACAAATACATATAAAACTTGAAAATATGTATTTATTCTCTATATACCCCCGACTCCCGTGTTTGAGCGTATGTAATTTAAGGAGAGTTAATTACCAATAATTAATAATAATAACAAATAAAAATACATGTGAAAGCAAAACAACAAAACATGGATATAATGAAATTGCAGGAACAAAACTGCAACTTTTCTGATAAACAAAAAGAATAATAAAGATATAAGGAACCAATTGATAGTGTTATGGTGTTTATTTCTTTTTTACTTTTTTTGAAAACCCTACTTAACTGGGGTTAAAAGGATTTTTTTGTAATGTTTATTTTTTGTGATATCTAATTTTACCAAAATATTTAAAATACCATTACAAATGCGAAACTTAAAAAAAATCGGTGAATAATCGGCCCAATTACGGTTGTCGTTACTATAGTCGTCGTCGACTTTATGTGCGAGTCGCCGTCGCTTCGATTCAAAAATGGTATTATGGTAAGGCATAGAAGCGACATCGACAGTTTAAAATAAAAGTTGGCAAAAATTAAAAAAACGTTGGCAACACTTCCTTGTTATTGACAAAAAAAGATATTTTTTTTGGTATTTTGAATTCTAATTTGGACTCTTTCGGAAAAATAAAATATATAGTAAAAAAATGAAGATTATACATGCTTTACATATCTTAAGTTCAAGTGAGGATGAAGAGAAGAATGTATTTGTAGTGCAGCGGCGAGTGTTAAGGCAGCCAACAAACATATTTGCATTGCCTGGCTCTTGATTGTGTTGTTCCAAAAGTTTACGCCGCTCTTTCAAGAGTTCAATAGTTTCTGCTTTCCTTGGTGACTTTTTAACATTGTTTTTTCAGCATTGTCCACTTGCTCATTTTCATGAACTATAACGTCTATTACACTTATGTTTTCCTTATCTTCTATTCCAAGTGCACGACCTGGTGGATTCCATAACTTTTGAAACTGCATTATATTCGCGACAGACTCCTCCAAAGGCGACAAACTCATTTGCCTAAAAATGCCACCTCCATTGCTGCTGGTTTCACCCTTGTTGTGCACAAGTTTCTTTTTAGTTTTAAATTTTTAATCTTTCCAAACCTAGAAGAATTTTAGAAAACCAACTAATAAAAACATACAAAAATAATTTTAATTTTTACATACTTTTTGCCAGCCATCGGAGTCTCTAATCGGAGGCCCGTTTACATTTAATTTTGTAGTAATGGATTCCCAATGTGAATTAAAATTTGCTGGAACATGACCTTTGGTAAATCCTCAATCAATTCGGAAACCAAAAGTTCAAATTGTTTTGCTGTTGTTATTTTCATGGTCAAATATCAAATACAAAATGCTTACAATATCAACGTCGACTAAAAAGTACTATGTCGTCACAATTTTTTACGGCGACAGATATTCTCAAAAATCGACTTCACGTCGACTGTTGTATCGACAATGATAATGGCAACCATTTGTCGCTATCGACAAAAAACGACAACCCTAATATCATTATTGTCGCTTCGACTTCATTTTGCGACGTCGACGATAACCGTAATAGGGCCGAATGTAGCTAAAATCATCAAAATTCCGAATATCGGCAGGTACCGTTATTGGGGGCTATACGAAGACATGAACCTGCACAGAAAATTTTCTGTCTTATTTAAATAAATAAAAAAAAAAAATAATTTTACCAATATTTGTCGGTAACTCAAAATGAGTTAGAGAATCCCACTACATGTGATTGCAATTCCCTTACTTGTCTTCATTGTTCCATGCCTCTATCTGTAACTCAGCAGACGGAAGGATTTGTAAATATTTAGGTGGATGTGGTGGAAATCATTTCGACTCGTGTTGGTATAAATAGATTTATTCATCCTTATTCTATTTGTCGACAAAATTCGATGACGTTTGCTGCGAATAGGTATTCTGAGCGTCAATATGACCATTTACGAAGTTTTTGGTATTGTGTAAGAAAATGTGACGATGACGTGAACTTGCATTGGCTCTAATTTCAAAGACCTTAATTTGTAAAAGATGCATATTATTCATTTGGTTTGTGTTATTATAAAAACCGCAATTCCAGAAACGAATGACAAATAAAATTTTGAAAGATCCCAAAATGTTATTTCAAAATTCTATTCCATAGACTAAACAAATAATCTGGCAAACTGTTGGAAAGCATGGTAAAATTAAGAAAGTAAAGTCATTTTAAAACGGCATTCCCGCCTTTGCATTTTCTGTAATTTGCCTTGTCAAATTTTTTTGCGTGGAAAGCAAGTTCCCATCTCTGATATGTGTATGTACAATGGATTAATAAATATTAATTAAAATTTTTTTTAAGTGTGCCCGGCTTCTGCCAATTTTGCGTATGTATTTGTTGTTTTGAAAAATAAAAACAAAATATTTTCAAAATCAATGATTGGAAGAAACTTAAATTGCGGGGCGGGCATTAATAATAGTTGTGTCTCAGTACTTTTTTAGTAGTTAAACTAGCAGAAGAGAGAACAGTTCGAAATATCATTCTCATTTAGGTGTGCTCAAAAAATAAGGGAACGGAATATTAGCAGAAATGCGATGAAATGTCAAGGTCTAAATCGGACTGGTGAAACCTTAGGCTGGAAATACATAAAGAGCATATTTGGCTGGCTTAAGTCATCGGCTGGCTTCTTCGTAGATGAACAAAGGAGGTTTAGGTTGACTTAGTTCGATTTTGGCCCTAGGCTCCTTTGTTCATTTCCGAAGAAGCCAGCCAGATAAGCGCTTTATGTATTCCGCCCTTTACTGAAAAGGACGCCAAAATTTAAAAAAATGAGTATTGAAGACGATATGTTAAAATTAATAATCTATAATAATAATTAATAATCTGATTCCTCATTCAGCCAGTCCTCTTCAATTATCCAAAAGTGAATACATCAGTTGCTACATACTTTCTCTTTTTGTTTTTTACACGACAAATAATAGTTTTTCCTTTAGTTTTTAAGTTGAACATTTTCTTTACTTTTGTTATGACGCGGGAACATTGAATTATATCAATACATTTTTCAACCTTGTTAGCCCTGCCAATTAAATGTCAAATTAACAAATTGCACATTTCTGCTCGGCCAAATTCATGTAGCTAAAACAAGCAGAAATGTGCACCACTCAGAGAGAGAGAGCTGCAAGTTTTGCTAGTTTTTGGAGTACGGGAACGCGTTGTAGCAGAATTAGTACTAATTATTACTAATTTTTAGGTTCTGGAACACAACTTTTGTGTATGAATTTATCGTTTTGAAAAATGAAAACAAAATAGTTGTGTTCCACAACCTGCAAATTAGTACTAATTAGCACTAATTCTGCTACAACGCGTTCCCGTACTCCAAAAACTAGCAAAACTTGCCGCTCTCTCGAGAAAAAATGGCGCTGAGTGGTGCACATTTCTGCTTGTTTTAGCTACATGAATTTGGCCGAGCAGAAATGTGCATATTGTAAATTTGACATTTAATTGGCAGGGCTAACAAGGTTGAAAAATGTATTGATACATTTCAATAAAGAAAATGATCAACTTGAAAACTAAAGGAAAAACTAATATTTGTCGTGCAAAAAACGAAAAGAGAAAATATGGAGCAACTGATGTATTCACTTTTGGATGATTCCAGCAGTGAAGAGGACTGGCTGAATGAGGAATCAGATTATTAATTATTATTATAAATTATTAATTTTAACTTATCGTCTTCAATACTCATTTTTTAAATGTTGGCGCTCTTTTCAGTAAGGTTTCACCAGTCCGATTTAGGCTGTTTACTTTTGGAATTTTGAATTTTGACATTTTATCGCATTTCTGCTAATTTTCCGTTCCCTTATTTTTTGAGCAAACCTAAACGAGAATGACATTTAGAACTGTTCTCTCTTCTGCTAGTTTTACTACTAAAAAAGTACTGGAACACAACTAATATTTTCAAAACCAAGACACGAAAGAAACGTAAAATTCGGCTCACGCATTAAAGCTATTAACCAGCTTAGCCATGATATTGAAAGATTGAACAGTTTGGATCATATTTTTGAGCGAAAATCTAGGCATTTTATTCTTTTTTTTTTGCGCTATTTAACTATTTTAATAACAATAATAAACAATAATTTTGAATGAGTCTGACAGGAAGCGGGCAAAGCCTCAGGGCGGTATTTGTAGTTTTACGAAGCTGTTCTACCTCCTTATTGTACCATGGATACATGTTTTGAGGTCACCACAAGAACAAATTATACGCGTTTGTTTTGAATACTATGTTTCAAACCAAAACTACTCCCTAAGTATATATTTTTCTCTTTCGGTGCCTTGTCCTACTATCTTCGATTCAATTTTGTAGAGAACCCCCAATATTCCAACGCTTGGCAGCATTGAAATGCCATTTTTTTTAATTTTTTCAAAAAAGTAGATTATAAGTTTTCTTATACGACACCAATCGGATTTTGTTATGATGTGCGTTTTTCAAAATTATTACAAATTTAAATAATTTTTCATTCAAAATTTTCAAATTTAAAATTGGTTTGACAATTCATTTCCCAGCAGCTGTTCTACCATGTTTAAATGTCAATGATGTCCAGGTTTATTTAATATAATAAAACCCTAATACAGAGTTGCATTTTCCTAGTTTCCTTAAATTTGAGGTACTTTTCTTTTTGAGCTATGTGTTTTGAATTTTTACAAAATTTAAAAATATTAAAAATAACCATTTGAATCATTCAAACACAAGTCACACGTACAAAAAGTGAATGTATGTTTTGTGGCATCATAAGAAGAAATTGTACTCAGGTATTTTGAAAATTATGTTTCTTACCAAGTAAAAATTGTTTTGTCTATTTGACACTCTCGAAAATTTTATAAAATTAATAACTAGAAAAATACTTTTTCCAGAACGCAAAGTTGTAGATTTTTTTCTCGATTTGAAATGATTTTAAAGAGACAACACTGTCTTGTATTTTTTATGTATTATTAGCTATAACCTAATTTCAGCCTTTGAATTTAGAGTTTACTTCTAAATATTACACTTATTTCTGCTGGATAATATGCAGAATGCAAATATTTTATAGAAAATATTCAAAAAGCCAAGAAAAAGGTCTTAAATTTTTAAAATATAAAAGTGTGAACTCCTCTAAATGTCGTTACTACAATGCGAAAGCTAGATGGCGCCATAACCATGACAGCGTCAATACAACTATGTTATAGGATTAAAGCCACTGAACAATAACTCATAAACAACTGTCAAAATATCTGTCAAATAAAGCGACATCCGGCCGTCTTCCTTTCCTTTTTTTCGTATCTTACAAGATGGTAGGTTCTACCAAATTTATATGTGTTCAAAAATTCATTGCCATCCCCACAAAAATTGCAAAAATGTGAAAATGTTTGAGAGATGTGACACCGCAACAGTGTGAATAAAATAAAAATGTAAATATTTCCACGATTAAGTGTTAATGAAGCAAACAAAAGGAAGTGTATTTGAGTTGAAATGGAATATAAACAAAAAATGACATTTGTATTAAAATGACATACAAAAAGTGAGATGGCAGTGCATTTTTGTTAATAAATGAATTATGTTATCCTTATGCTGTTCCCGCTGTTGGAACGGAAGCTTGTGTTTCGGTGTTTAATAAAATGTTTTTTGTGTGTTTTCCATGTCAATAGGCGCGAGGTCCTAAGAAGCACTTGAAACGTTTAGCCGCCCCAAAGGCTTGGATGTTGGACAAATTGGGAGGTGTATTCGCTCCCCGTCCCTCCACCGGCCCCCACAAATTGCGCGAATCATTGCCTTTGATGATCTTCTTGAGAAATCGTCTAAAGTATGCCTTGAACGGCGCTGAAGTAACCAAAATTGTTATGCAGCGTTTGATTAAGGTTGACGGTAAGGTACGCACCGACCCAACCTACCCAGCTGGTTTCATGGGTAAGTACGAATTTCTTGAAAAGGAACAGCGGAAATGTTTATAATGCGTATTTGTTTTTGTAAATTGCAGATGTTATCTCCATTGAAAAGACCGGCGAAAACTTCCGTTTGATCTATGACATCAAGGGTCGTTTCACCATTCACCGCATCTCCAATGAAGAAGCTGCCGTAAGTATTGCACTCTACTGTAAAAAATGTAATCTAAGTTTGATTTTAAAAAGGCGAACAGAATCGGAAAGCTGTGCAAATAGTTCAGGCTTGTTATGAATTTATAGCCGCAGTCAGAATATGGACAAACATCCGAATGGGAGGGAGATATTTTGTAGCTCTACATTTTCCATAGATTAGTATCATCGGTATTAGTGCCCTTTTATCGTCTCGTCTCTATGTTATCCACATTGGGAATATAATTCCAATTTGATTAATTAAACGAAGGTGTAGTACAACCCAGATTATTTAACTATCCGAGATGTATTATAACACTTGATGGATATGCAAGCAATAAATATGGACGAACGCTAACATAAAAGTGAGGAGCATGGCAAAGTGCATTTTCAAGCCATCCAAAGAAGTTTTCATTGTTTTCTTCCCTATATCTAACCGAAATATCGCAAGAAGGATTAGGTGAAATCTGTGTTAAATGGATTTCAAACAAAGTTATTTCTGGGAGCCAATATTTGTAATCATTTTATCGTTAGGCCATATAAACTCTTCTCAGTGTTAGCCCTACATTACAGTTTTGTTTGTACTTTTTTTTTTTTGTAAGGTTTGTGGCTTTCCAACACCATATCGATGGATATATGTCCCACCATTGATTATGGTTTATTTCAAAAAAGCCCAAAAGCAATTTTTGTAACGACGGTCATTGCCTTGTCTCTTAAATGGCACTGCAATAACATCTACGTTCAATTACATTTTTTTCGGTATTTACATTTCTGTACGAAAATATGGCTTATCGAAGACCATTTTAATAAACTAAATCAATTAATTGTGGTTCAAAACTAGGCCTAAAGCAATTTTTGTAACGACGGTCATTGCTTTACCCCTTTTTAATGGTACTGTGATAACATTTACGTTCAATTACAAGAGTTGTTAAAAACAAGTGTCATTTCGAAATACTGTTGTTGTTTCAAATTTATTAATAGTTTTTCAATTTTCTATTATTTTAGTACAAATTGTGCAAGGTCCGCAAGACCCAATTGGGTGCCAAGGGTGTTCCATTCGTTGTTACCCACGACGGCCGCACCATCCGTTACCCTGATCCTTTGATCAAGGCCAACGATACCGTTCAAGTTGACATTGCCACCGGCAAAATCACCGACTACATTAAGTTCGATTCCGGTAAGTTGAAACTGTCAAGAAAAATTAAATAATATTTTGGCTTAATCGAAGACCATATTTAATGATTTAAAAAATATTCCACATTTTTATGGTTCAAAAGTAAGCCAATAGCAATTTTTGCAACACGGTCATGGCTTTATCCTAACCCCATGATAAGGTCATAACATTTAGTTCAATTACATTTCCATCGAAACAACTAACTTATATTTCTTTAATTAACGATCCCTTAACTAATAATATATTTTGTTTCTTTCTTCCTTCTTCAGGCAACTTGTGCATGATCACTGGAGGTAGAAATTTGGGTCGTGTCGGTACCGTTGTCAACCGTGAAAGACATCCTGGCTCCTTCGATATTGTGCACATTAAGGACACTCAAGGCCATGTTTTCGCTACCCGTTTGACCAATGTCTTCATCATTGGCAAGGGTAACAAGCCCTACATTAGCTTGCCTAAGGGTAAGGGTGTTAAATTGAGCATTGCTGAAGAACGTGACAAGCGTTTGGCCGCCAAGAAGTAAACTAGTTTTTAAAAGAAAACACAAAGAATGTTTTTAGTTTACGTTTTACATACAAAATGAAAAAAATACATTAAAAACATCCAAAAAATTATTTTAATGCATTTTTTACTTGCAATAATCATTTGTGACTAGATTTTAAATCTATGGAAATTTTGGATATTGGTATATTTATTATTTTGGGTATTAAACTAAAAATATGTGGGCTATACAAAAAAGAATCTATGCTACAGGGGTTCCAAATACTAAATTTGAAATAGTTTCTATGGAAAAGGTTAAAACCATAATGCAGATTATTGGAAGGTGGCTTTACATAGGAAAGGCCATAAGAAACGTGGATCTACATAGACTACATTAGTAGTGGAATTCTCTAACTCATTTCTTGAGTTACTGACAAAATTAAATCGCAAAATTTTGAATGAAAAGACTAAAGTTGACAGCGCTGTTGCTATCGGTAGAATTTAACGATTTACTATGGTAGAAGACTAAAGGTAGTGTTTGACATATCAATGTTTCCAAGCGTTAAAGTATCTACCTGAATTCTGCCATGGCGACTACTTTATTTTGGTCGCTAACTTGGAGAAATTATATGAATCTTGATTTTATCAAGTTTTGTCGGTAACTTCAAATGCGAGTTAGAGAATCAACCTACAGATACCAAATTTGAAACTATTTCGTAGAAAATGTGGCTAAAATCATCAAAATATTAAATACGAGGAGGTGCATTCATGGAGACCTCAGAAAAAGATCCATATAGACAATGTTCTGCAATAGGAAGACACTACAAACTCGAAATACTGGATTTTAAACAATTCCGTTAAAAATATGGCTTTAATCGTAAAAAGAACGAACTTCGGTAGGTACCGGTCAGACAACGGAGTGAATCAATTTTTTTTGGCGGCGGCCCATCAGATGTGAACAAATCGCCGGCGGTGAGAATTTGGAGCAAAAACTATATTTAATTAAAACTAATTGCGCGTTTATACTATTAATTACTGGAAATATTTGATCTAGGACGGTTATTACATCTTTTCGGTAGAAAAAAAATTATGTTGTCGGAAAATAAATCGATTTTCGTTATTACAAGTTTCATTTAAATATGCACTGTCCGATAAGCAAAAGGTCAGGCCATCTTCCCTTGATCTTCTAACATAAAGTTTACTGAATTCATGTTACCATATTTATACCCTACACCACATAGTGGTAAGGGTATTATGTCTTTGCGCATTTGTTTGTAACGTGGAAAAGGAGGCGATAAAGACCCATAGTTACTTTTGAGAATCTTCATATAATCACCTGGCCTTGTATTTTGTGAACAAAATGCAGGTCGCATTTATTCTCCAATTGAGATGAAATTTTCCAAACAATCTTTGTTTGGCCCAAGGATGAACCATATTAAAATTGGTGAGAATCGGTTCGAATTTAGGCATAGCTACCTTCCACCGATTTGGGTTAGTTGTGTACTAAATGGCCTATATGAGGAATTCAACATACAAGCAATTACATCAAATTTGTTGAATATCGGTTCAGATATAGCAATAGCCCCCACATAAATGAATGTTTCATCCGATCTGGTGTTCAAGTCTCCCACATTCGTAAAATGCATTAGAAAACAATTATATTTGTTGCCAGATATCTAATAGAGCTCGGAAATATTTTTGCCAAATTTTTATCAAGAACGGCTAAGATTTGGATATTGCTCCCATATATATACTTAACCCTATTTCCGGTTTATTGTTCCAATAATGCCTAATATCAGCCCAAATGGAGTGAATTTTGAGACGTACGTTTTCATTTGGTGGAACTCGGCTCCGATATACAGGGTACGATTAAAAAACTACAACTAAGTCAAGCACCATAATTTTTACAAAAAATTTCGGAAATAGCATCAAATTTAAGAATAAGTTTAGATTTATTCAAATTGGTCGCCTTTGGCACGAATTATGGCATTCAAACGGCCACGCTGCCCGAATGTTGCTCTGCGGTATTTTGGCCCATCCCGACAAAGCGCTTGCTTGATGTAATCGACACTTTGGTATTTTTTAAAGCCAAACTTGCTTTCCAAATTATTCCAGACACAATAGTCCAGCGAATTGGTATCCGGAGATTTTTGTGGCAATTGTGCGCTGGAAATGAATCGAGGAACCTCATTTTGTAACCATTCTTGGGTGGTGCGTGCTGAGTCCTGTTAGAATGACCAAAGTCTGCGGCCTCCAGAATATTTTAGCGATAATATTCGGCATTTATTTTGATCCCAGGATCGATTAATACGAGCGGGGAGCGACCATCGGCTGTTATGGCGACCCACTCCATCACCATGGCCTGCGCTTGAGTTATGGTGGCCAACCGAAGGGGCACATTTTCAGCTGACCTCTTTGACCACTTTCGGCCAAGCGAAGCAACTCTTTAGCTCTTTTGAGTCTATTTTCTTTCTGTTGCGATGTCAGTTTTTGCACATTTTGGAATTTTAATGGCTTTACCCCTAGCTCATTATTCAATATTTGCCGAATGGAGTATTGTGATATGTTCAGGTCACAAGCCATTTTTTGGCCACTGTGACGCGGATTTCGATCAAGTCGCTTCTTTACTTTTCGAAACATTTCTGCTGATGTTACTGTTTTCTTCCGTCCACTTTCTTGACGTCGGGCTACGCTACCAGTATCAACGGTAAAAAGCGATGGTACGTGACACAAAAGATTTATTCACATTTAAATGCTGGAGAGCTCTAACGATAGCCACTTGTGGTTTTCCAGCCATATATAAAGAAATCACACTATCACGTTTGAATTCCATCACGAATAACTTTTTTACTGGAAAATTCTCATCAAAATGCTTTTGTACTCCTGTAAACAATATAATGAGCTATCACTGGAATAATTTTAACAGCTATCTGGTTGTGGCCATGGCAGAAGAATACAGGTAGATGCATCATCGCTTGGGAGCATTGATATGTCAAAAAATTTTAAATGTTTTTTTTTTTTAATATAAGTAGATTTTTATATGTGTTCTTATACGACGTCATTCGGGGGTTCTTATAATTCGTGTTTTTCAAAAATTTTTACAAATTTAAACAATTTTTCATTCAACATTTTCAATTCCAAAATTGGTTTGACAGTTCATTGTCCCAGCAGCTGTGTCGATGCGTCTACCTATATTCTTCTACCATGGTTGTGGCTTAGAAATGACAGCAGTCTGAAGTTTGTTGCAGTTGTTTTATCTCTCACTGTATATATTTTTAATATAATACTTCTCAGTCAAATTTAATGAAAATTGATTGAGAATTGGATATGTCTTTCATATTAAGTTCCCTCTGAAACCAAATTATAACTGCTCTAAAGCCAAATGTTGACAGGTGGTATGATCTACTTGAAATAAATTCTTTTGTTAGGGGAGCTCTATTAAATATGCATAGTGGTGTAGAATATCATATAGTCGGCCTCGCCCGACTTTTAACTTTTCCTTACTGGTTATTAATATCAACTTGTTTTTGCCAATATATTCTTCTGATACTTGTATATTATACACCATCATGTGTTGACTTAACAGTCGATTGGAAACATTGGAGAAAAACTTGAGTTAACATAAACTCCTTCCAATTTTATATTTCAAAATATTATTTTTGAAATTTCTTGAGGAAATAATAAAAAAACGCGTGAAAGTTGAAAATAGGAATCGACTGGATTTAAAATGATTAGTCTAAATGAGCTTTTGTTATGTTTCACCCATGGTAGAAGAATATAGGTAGACGCGTCGACACAGCTGCTGGGACAATGAACTGTCAAACCAATTTTGGAATTGTAAATGTTGAATGAAAAATTATTAAAATTTTGTAAAAATTGTTGAAAAACGCAAATTATAATAGTCTCCGTATGACGTAGTATAAGAAAACATATAAAAATCCACTTATATTTGAAAAAACATTTACATTTTTTTGACATATCAATGCTCCCAAGCGTTGATGCATCTACCTGTATTCTTCTGCCATGGTTTCACCCTTTAACTAGGGGCTTACACAGGAGGAATTGTCTTGAATCAGAGTTGTATTTTTAAAAGACAGCAAAAGAAATTAATGAAAGAGTAATTATCAAAAATTGTTAAGATAAATATCTAGAATACTAAAATTTTCATTCATTATTTTATGATTGTTTCAGCTTTAGAACCCCATCTCCATTTTAGAAATGAAACACATCATCATTCATATATATTTTCTGAATAAAACTAATTTAATTCGTTCTTCTTTAAGTTTAGTTTTAACAATTCTTAACTTAAGAAAATATATTTACAAAAATTAAGAAATTTGTGAGTGACGAAGAGAAATGATAGATTTCGATTTAATTTTGTTTTTACACATTCAAAGAAAAAAAAAAACATATTAAATATTATACAAAACAAAATATACTGACAATACAAAATGAAGATAAAGATTATGACACTTGTGTTTATCACATAACTGAATTACTTTTAATAAAAACAAAATACATACATATTTATACAAAAACAAAATAAAAAAGTATTTTTTTTACAAATTTATATACAAAGGAATACTTTTGAAAATATTTGACAATAAGTAATTTTTATTTTTTAAAAATGGGGAATAGATTTACTTTCTCTAACAAATGGAATGATTTGAAAAGAAATGTTAATGGTAACATGAATATAAATAAGAATATAACAAGAAAGGCATTTTAATACGAGGATAAGATGCCAATTGGCAACTTCACGCCTCAATGCTATTCACAGTTTTAGTTTTAACCTGAACCTTAACTTGTTATGATGGATGTTTCTAATGTGGAAATGAATGATTTTCCTCTGGTCCTTCTATGAGTTGTCAATTAGACAATGATAAATTGTGTATCATGGTAAAGGACTCCAATTTGAACGTAGTTCTGCCATTTGCAAAATGCAGCAGAACCAAAATAATGAAAATACAATTCATATATCCTCCTTGAAAATGTACAAATACATATCGATGAGATTTTTTTTCCTACAGCTAAATTGGGAGGAGGGACAAAAATTGAGAATCTAAAAGGCGCGTTTACACCATACGATTTATAGATCTGACATAAATCGTATTGTGTGAAGGCAACAACACATTGGTTAGGTTCGTAAGTCGATTGATAACATCGCAAAATAAATGACAGTTTATTTGCCTGTCAAAATTAAAAGTCTGTCTGAAAGCGAGTTTACATACAATTTTTTTCAAGTGATTAACCGTGATAATTGACCGATTTTATTAAATTTAATATATATGTTTTCCATAGTAAAAATTTATTGTTATTTGTCAATTATCACGTTTATGCCGGCAAAAATGTCTATGCAAACTCACTATATCATTTTCAGTGTGTTTACATTATGATATGGGTGAAAATTCGAATACAAAGCTCAAAACAACAGGGGAATGGAATAATCAAAGATAATATAAAACTCAATGCAAAACTTTCATTTTGCTTAACTCTTTTTACTTTAAAGCAATTTGTGATATTTTTTTAATTTTTTGGATCATGCAAATTAAAACGACAAACACAAATAACAAATCCAGTGGATTTCAATTGTCAATGTCACAACGTATATGTCAAATGGAATCCGCATTGTACACACATAACAAATAAGGGGGATTTTAACTATCAATGCTATTGCGTATATGTCAAATGGAATCCACTGGATTTTTGGAGTCGTTTTTATTTGACGTATATGCATTGAAAATGACAGTTGAATTCTACTCGATTTAGTAATTGTACATGAACTTAAACACGGTTAAAGTGATGCCATTTTGGAGCGAAATTATATCTATGTTATTGTTGGCATTTTTATAAGGGAAGAAAAGCCTCAATATCATGGTAGAATTAAGAAGGTAAAGTCGTGCAATCATATGTTTTTTCAAAATATATAATTATAAATCCATAGTATACACAAAAATCAGAGATGGGAACCTGGTTTTTATTCAGCGAAATTTGACAAGGTAAATTACAGAAAACGCCGAGATGGGAATGCTTATTTGAAATGACTTTATCTTCTTAATTTTGTCATGCTACAATATATATTCTGAACTCAGTCTGGATTTAGAAAATAATTCTTATAGTACATTTACAGTTTACCAGATTTACTAAACTTGATGAACTTTAGTTTTACGAAATGTACTCCACCTCAAATGTCAATTCCACATAATTATGTATGTCAAATAATCGAGTGGATTTAGTAACTAAATGTGCTCTAAATCTCAAATAAATCCTTAAAAAAGAGATAAACTCGGCAAAAAGCTTTAGTGTAAACATACTATTATGCATGGTACAATACATGGCAGAAGAATACAGGTAGATACATTAACGCTTGGGAGCATTGTTATGTCAAAAAAATTTAAATGTTTTTTTCAAATATGATTAGATTTTTATATGTTTTCTTATACTACGTCATTCGGATGTTATTATAATTCGCGTTTTTCAACAATTTTTACAAATTTAAATAATTTTTCATTCAACATTTTTAATTCCAAAATTTGTTTGACAGCTCATTGTCCCAGCAGCTGTGTCGACGCGTCTACCTATATTCTTCTACCATGGTACAATAAAAAGGTAAGGTAGAGCTATCAGCTGATTACACGTATATTGCGAGACGTGCATTAAAGCTGTTTGCTAGTTTGAAATATCGAACTGTTTCGATCATATTTTTGAAAGAAAATCCCAGCATTTCATTCATTTTTGCCGCTGTTTCACTGATTTTAAAAATGAGGAAAAATATGGAATAAATGCAAACAACTTGTGGCATGCAATTTGGCAGGAAGCTGTTCTATCTCCTTATTGTACCATGCTATTATGTATGTACTACAACGATGTATACCCAAGAAATTGACATTTGAAATCCACTGGTTTTTCTACATGTGTAGAACTTTTACATCTCTGCTCTCACCTTTAACGTTTCCGTTGTCAACCACAGGATATATTTTTCACAGTGATTGGCATTACTTTAAGAATGTTCATACGGTTGCTGTTTCTTTGCAGCTCAAACGTAGTGGCAACGCTTAGTGGAGCACTATCTTCATGGTAGAAGAATATAGGTAGATGCATCAACGCTTGCGAACATTGTCAAAATTTTAAAATTGTTTTGTCAAAAATAAGTAGATTTTTATATATGTTCTTATACGATGCAAATCGGAGGTTGTTACAATATGAATTTCTCAGTAATTTGTACAAATTTTAATAATTTTTCATTCAACATTTTCAATTCCAAAATCGGTTTGACAGTTCATTGTCCTAGCAGCTGCGTCGAAGCGACTACCTGTATTTTTCTACCATGACTATCTTACTATATTAAACCATGTTTACATATAATAAAACCAATGGATTTAAATGACAATTCCATTGCGTATGCGTCAAATCTGAAATGTAATTTACTTTATTCGACGTATACCCAAAGAAATTTACATTTCAAATCCACTGGCAGCCCAAACGTAATCGCATGGTAGAAGAATACAGGTAGTCGCATCGACACAGCTTCTGGGACAATGAACTCTCAAACCAATTTTGGAATTTATTTTTTGAATGAAAAATTATTAAAATTTGTAAAAATTGTTCAAAAGTGAAATGTCAAACTAAATTTGAAATCGAAAATTTTGAATGAAAATCATAACAATAACAATGAATAACATAACGTTTAGGAAAACATAAAAATCTACTTAAAAAAAAAAACATTTCAAAACTTGTGACATATAAGTGTTCCCAAGCGTTGATGCATCTACATATATTCTTCTACCATGGTGCTTGGCATCACTTTAAGAATGTTCATACGTTCTGTTTTTGGCAGCTCAAACGTAATGGCAACACTCATTAGAGCAATTCTGCAAAAACCACAAGTTATAATTTGGATTTAGTATTCTTTTAGTATTTTTGTACTTTTGCAGATCACAGGGTCATGTAAACTGTCAATTTTGATATAATTTTTTATGTGAAATTCGGCAGCACTCCCAAGTACTTGTTTTAAGCTTAGTATTCTCTCGTTGCATAAAATTGTTTATTTCGATAAAATGTTGTGTCGTTCGTCAAATTATTTTTTTATAGCAAAAATAAAATCGTATAGTAGGAACGCCCCCAAAACAGCTGACTACGCTTAACTGTAAATAAAGAAAATACAAAAATTTCATCATGCTCTTATAAAATGCTAAGTAAAACATAACCTTACTTTATGATTTACTGGCAGTACGTTTAGTTAGAGTCTTTACAGAATCTCGACTATTGATAACTTCAGCATGGAAACCAGTCTCCCAGTCTGCATAGTATTTGACAGTGCGCACATTGCCATCCGGTTCCACCAGGGAATATTCACCTCTGACCACATCACCATCACGTTCTTCGCGTTGATGTTTAATATCGCCCGTTGTTGGGTCGTTAACACCATATTCAAAGGCATAGCGGGGATGATCGTTCTGAAATAGAAAATTAATTTACGGAAGTTAAATCTATCTAAAAATTAGGAGGTATAGTACTAGGCAGAATGAACGCGTTAGGCGTTGTCGTTTAAAAAGTTTTCATATTTTAATATTATATTATAATATAATTATATTATTCATATCCAACTTGGAACTGCAACACCAAGCGACATTCTATTCAGTGTCTTCGTTTTGAAACTCTTCAAAGCTTAAATCGTGACTTCGGCTTGAAAATACAACACTGTTGCCACTTGCAACTGAACATTGTGGTCGTTTCGTCCAACCAAAAATGGCATTGTATTTTCACACCGATCTATTTCATCCATGAGGGTTGCCATCATGGTAAAATTAAGATGGTAACCTTGCGCAATTATATTTTAACCATTTTTTAGAAACATCTCATTGTCCACATTTTTAGAATTTACCTTCTCAATTCTACCATGACTAGTGCTATCAATACTTTAAAATTTCTCGACTTACAAAGTATTCTAAATGCTGTTCTGTCATAACTTTGATCTTAGCTGGCTTTATTATGGGCGCTGTTTTCAAATAGGCTTCCGGTGTAAGGCTATGACTACTTAGAGCGGGAGCTATGGGTGCATATCTGTAGAAACCAGCTCCATGCGGTCCTATACCACCAACACCATGGTCATAACCGGTAAGCGGTGCCAAGCCTCCATGTAAAATGCCACCATAACCAGCTCCATGGCCTGATAGGGAACCACCTCGGCCCGAAACACCATGACCGGCTAAGACACTTTGATAATTCAATGCTGGCGAAGTACCAAAGTGGCCCAGGCTTACAGCTCCATAGTAACCTAATTGGAAGAGAATGCGATTAGAATGTTTGTGGCCAGATTCGCTTTCCTTTACAAACCTTCACCGATATGTTGTCCAGCCAAACCAAGTCCATGACCGGCAGCCAGGCCAATTGCTGGAGCTTGCAGAGGTTTGGTTACATATGAAGCAGATCCATAGCCAGCATGACTTAGGCCTAAACTGGATTTGCTCATAATTGAAGCGCCGGCACCCTTAACAAGATGTGGCTGGGAGACGTATTGATGAGAAACGGCTCCATGGCCAGCAGCAGAAGATATGGCAAGATTGGCAGCTGAACCGGTTGTCAAATGATGTCCCGAACCCTCGACAACAATGGGTGAGGCAAAACTACTAGGCTGATGTGATATGACAGCGCTACCAAGAGAACCATGAGATACGACACCACCACTAAAAGCACCATGAGATATGGCAGCACCACTATGAGAACTATGAGAAATGGCACCACCACTAAGAGAACCATGCGAAATGGCACCACCTAAATGCACAGCTCCACCAATCGCTGGGCCACTGGCTGGTATGAGCTTGGCACCATAGGCCGGTTTCGAGACATATTGATGGGAAACGGCTCCATGAGATTCAAATTTACTGACACCGCTCAATAGCGGGGTCACTACTTTACTTACAGCTGGACCGGCGTGAGCAACACTGGGGGCAGAATAGGTCACCGTTTTTGCAATGGCAGGAGTTGCCAGTACCGCAGCAGGCTTGGAAACATATTGATGGGAGACAGCTCCGGATGAGACACTCTTATAACCGGATGACACATAACCGCCCGAACTGTGTGCTGCACCGGACAAAAGTGGATTGTACACCGGGGTGACCTTGGCAATCGCTGGAGCAGGTAATGGCGCTGCATATGTGGCAACCTTACCCAAAGCTGGTGCAACATAACCTACTCCTTTCACCGGCTTCGAGACGAATTGATGTGAAACTGCACCGGAAGCATGTGAACTGGATGAAATAGCTGCCAAGTTATTATAACCATGTCCCGAGGTAGCAACGTGTCCGGCAATTGGAACTTGTGCTGGAGATACATATTGATGGGATGCATAGCCACCGCTAGCATATTGACCGCCATAAGAGACGCCACTGTACAAAGGTTTTGCCGGTCCCGAGATCAATGTAGGCTGACTGACATGCTGATATGTTGCACCCAATCCCGATGTGCCGTGTAATCCATTATAGTAGGATGCCGATAGTACCGGTGCGGTGGGGGCATAGGTGGCAATCTTGGGTGCTGCGGTCAAAATCGTTCCAGGTTTCGAAACATATTGATGAGATACCGCACCGCTGCTTTGATATTTTACAGCAGATATTGGTTGTTGATATGTGGCAACTTTGGCAACGACTGGCTGGGCAGCGTAATGAGTTACGGCCGGAGCTGGGTATGCAGCCTGTGCGGGTTTCGAAACATATTGATGAGATACTGCTCCACCGCTGCCACTGCTATGATAGCTTGCAACTTTGGCAATGCCAACGGGTCCAGCTGCATGGCCAATTACGGGTGCGGCATATGCGGCAACCTTTGCTACAACTGGAGCAGCCAGAACAGCTGGCTTCGAGACATATTGATGTGATTCAGCACCGCCAGAGGAGGAATATGCTGCCGATTTTACCACAGCCGGTGCAGATACGTATTGTGTAACGGCCGGAGATGTTAGTGTTGCAATCTTAGCCACTGCAGGAGCTGCATAACCGGTTAGATGTGTTGCAGGCTTCGAAACATATTGATGAGACACGGCCCCAGCTCCCGAGCCAGAGTAATGGACCGATCCTCGACTTGATGTTGTATAGTGGGATGAACTGCCGCCATCGGTGTAACCACTTAACTTAACTACGGCGGGAGCTGCCACTTTAGCCACAACAGGTACTGCTGCAGGCTTCGATACATATTGATGAGAGACAGCTCCACCGCTGGTGCCATAATGACCGGAACTACTTTCAGAATAGGATCCAACTTTCACAAGAGATGGGCTTGAGTATGTAGCAACCTTGGCTACAACCGGAGCTTGTACAATTTGCGCTGGTTTGGAGACATACTGATGGGAAACAGCTCCACCACTTCCAGATGAGGCGAAATGTGACGAACTTCCACCAGATGCATAGTGTACAGCGCCACCTACAATTGCCGGGGCTGCGTAAGTTGCCACCTTGGCGACAACCGGGGCTTGAACGGCTAAAGCTGGTTTCGACACGTATTGATGGGAAACCGCACCACTGCCAGAGGCGGCATAGTGAGAAGATCCACCTTCGACTTTAACCACTGCTGGAGCGGCATATGCTGGCACCTTGGCTACAACGGGAGCTTGAACAATTTGTGCGGGCTTGGACACATATTGGTGTGAAATGGCACCGCTGCCGGACGAAGAGAAGTGTGATGTGGCAACAGTGGCGGGTGCAGAGTAGGTGGCAACTTTGGCTACAACAGGAGCTTGAACCACAGCAGCTTGCACCGGTTTCGAGACATATTGGTGGGAAACAGCACCACTGCCAGAGCTTGCATAATGAGAAGCACTGCCGGATCCTGTATAGGTAGCAACCTTAACTGCTGCAGGTGCTGCATAGGTGGCAACCTTAGCTACGACAGGCGCTTGAATAACTTGGGCTGGCTTTGAAACATACTGATGGGAAACAGCACCACCACCAGATGATGAGAAGTGGGACGAACTTCCTGTCGAATATGCTCCCACCTTTATTTCAGCCGGCGCCGGGGAGTAGGTGGCCACCTTAGCAACTACTGGAGCTTGAACTACAGCAACCTGGGCAGGTTTGGAGACATATTGATGAGAAACGGCCCCACTGCCCGATGTGGCGTAATGTGAAGAACCTCCTTCGGAATAGGAAGCAACTTTGACGGCAGCGGGTGCAGCATAGGTGGCAACCTTAGCCACAACTGGAGCTTGTACAACAGCAACCTGAGCCGGTTTTGAGACATACTGGTGAGAAACAGCACCACTGCCTGAGGTGGAGTAGTGAGATGCACCTCCGTGTGAATAGGAGAGAGTGGGAGCAGAATATGTGGCAACTTTTGCAACAGCTGGAGCTTGAACCACAGCAACCTGGGCAGGTTTAGAGACATACTGATGAGAAATAGCACCACCACCTGAGGTGGCGTAATGAGATGAACCACCTTCGGCATATGAGGCGACCTTAACCGCTGCGGGCGCCGAATATGTGGCAACCTTGGCCACAACAGGAGCTTGAACCACAGCAACCTGAGCGGGTTTGGAAACATACTGATGAGAAACTGCACCACCACCCGATGTGGCATAATGGGATGAACCTCCCTCGGAATATGAGGCAACCTTTACAGCTGCAGGTGCAGAATATGTGGCAACTTTGGCAACGGCTGGTGCCTGGACTACAGCAACTTGAGCTGGTTTGGAAACATACTGATGGGATACTGCACCTCCACTTGAAGAATAATGTGACGAACCTCCCGCCGCAGCAGCATGGCCACCAATGTTTACAACGGCCGCTGGTGCTGCATAAGCAGCCACTTTGGCAACAACGGGTGTCTGAGGTTTCGAAACATACTGATGAGAAACGGCCCCACCACTTGAGGAGTAATGCACCGATCCGCGACTAGCGCCAATGTTTACAACTTTTGGAGCCTCATATGTTTCAAGCTTAGCCACAACTGGGGCGGGAGCGGGTGTTACATATGTTGCCACCTTAGCTATTTGTGGAGCAACATAGGCGGCTGGTTTCGAGACATATTGATGGGATACTGCTCCCGCCGAGACTTTGGGAGTTTCTGGAGGCAGGTAAGCAAGACCGCCATGAGAAAATCGACCACCCGAAACACTAAAGTGAGCTGAGGCTGGGGCTGTGTATGTTACTTCCTTGGCAATGGCTGGGGCAGTGTAGGTGGCAACTTTCGCCACGGGAGCAGGACTAGCGTAGCCGGTAATGTGGGCAGTGGGTTTCGACACATACTGATGAGAAACGGCACCTCCCGCGGAATATTTCACTGATTCTCCGCCCGAAATGGTCACAGCTGGTGCTGGGGCAACCTTAGCGATAGCTGGAGCAACATATGCCACTTGGGGTTTTGGTGCGGAATAGGTTATTGTCTTGGCTATGGCGGGTGCAACATAAGCCGATGGTTTGGACACATATTGCGATGATATGGCACCGCTGCCACCTGTGGCATAATGTCCCGAACTGGCACTGGTTGTATAGTGCACAGAACCATCACCACCTCCAGCGTACTTTGTAACCGTCACCGGAGTGGCCACCTTGGCAACAACCGGTGCAGGAGCATATGCAGTTATGTGGGAAACCGGCTTTGAAACATGCTGGTGAGATATGGCACCGCCCGATGCATGATGGTAAGAACCTTCCGAGGCAAACGTTGCCACCTTGGCTGGGGCTGAAATGTAATGGGAAGCAATGGGTGCAGCATAGGTGGGTATCTTAACTGGCGCCGAAACGTAGTTAAGGGGTTTCGAAACATGTTGCTGAGAAATGGCACCATACGAAGACTTAGCATAACCGCTGGTCTGCAGACTGGGCAAATAACCTTTGGAAAGGGCCGGAGCATAGGCATACGCAGCCGGTGAAGGCGCCTCAAGTTTAGGAAACAATGGCTGAGCTTCAAATGTGGCCAGATGATCGGTTGCGGCGATTGAAGAAATTTTTGCAACTGTGGGAGTGCCATAGGATATCTTTGGGGCATAACTGATATGTCCTGCCTGCGGGTTATAGGCAGCACTGGTGAAAATGCTATCCAAATGTCCCGACTTGGCATAACCAAATACGGGTGTTGTCTTAGAGAATGGAGAAGAATAGCTGGCAATTTTGGTAACGGCTGGAGCCGTGTAACTTAGCTTGGACTCTCCGCCACCGCCGGCCGTGTACGTGGTAACTTTTGTAACTCCCGGTGTTGACTGGGTGTAACTAAAGCCGGTCGATTCATAGGATTCTACTTTCGGAGGAGGCAAATAGGCACTGGTAATTTTCTTGGTATTGATGGTGGGCGTCACCAGATTTTTGAATTCAATGCCCGATGGTACAACCGCTGCATATTTGGAAGCTGGCGATTTATCGGCATATGTTATGCTACCACCCTTGGCATAGGTAACTGCCGGTTGGTATGCTACACTTTTAACCGGTGCCACATATTTTGCCTGTCCAGAACCGTGGGAATATCCCGAAAATGCTGCCGATGATTCATATGAAGAAGAGGATGATGACGACGAAGAATACGATGATGATTCTATGGGTGTAGCCTTCAGCTTAGTTTCCCCCGGACCAATGGAGAATTTCACTTGGGGTTGGGGATATGAATAGCCTGCATCGATGACAGCTTGTATACAATCTGCCAGTGATCGTGGTGTTGAATCTGCCCAAACTGTACCGCAAAGGCACAGAATAGCAAGAAATATCTGCAAAGGTAAAAAAAGAAAATAAAAGCAAAAAAGGACGACAAGGAGAAAAGTTCAAGGTCATATTTTGATTAAAGAAAAATTGAGGTTAAGTGGATGCATATTTTGATAATTTAAGGTCAGTTTACACATCGTGTTAGCGTCATATGTAAATATTTTTTTCACATTTTACATTTAACATTTTTGTAGCTGGTTTTTAAGCGCCCCACTCAATTTTATACCATCAGCCATATGACTACAGAGGGTATATATCATCTGAAATAACGGTATTAGACCCTAGGTCTCTTTGAACCAAATCCGTTTCAAGACATTTGGAGTCGATCTAGCGGTGTACGTCCGTCCGTCTGTTTGTCTGACTGGTGCGTATGATAACTCTCGAAGATCGAGTTCGGCGATGGACAATGGTACATCCCCCACAGAAGGTCGAAATTTTCAAAAAATATTTTACTGCGACGAAACAGAAAGTATAATCCGATGTTGCTTCAACCTTGCAAATTCCAATATTTGCAGCATTGCTATGTCAGGTGCTACATTGGACAATATCGGTCCACTCCATCAAGTACCTCCCCCGCAAAGGATCAACATTTTGAATGATTATAACTCTTATCCACTCCTTCCTGGTACGTCGCCCACAAAGGATCAACATTTTGAACCTCATAACACACGAAATCCATTCGGACTTGGCATGTCCCGATATTTATATCAGCACAAGATATGTTGTAAAGATGGTAGAAATCGGACCATTCCTTCTGGTACCTCCCCCACAAAGGATCAAATTTTTGAATAACCAAAACGATTATAAAATCCTAAATCAGCATCCGGTTCGCTTTATTTTTCACACATCTCATAATTTCTACAAACACAAGATCTGTTGTGAAGATGGGATATAACGGTCCACTCCTTCTGGTTCCTCCCCCGCAAAGTGTAAAAATTTTGAATATCCATGAAGCTCATAAAACGCGAAACTAACATCCGATTGCGTTCCAGACTTGGTAAATCTCAATATTTAAATCGACACAAGATCTGTTATAACAAGTTAAAAAGCAGTAAGTTCGGCCGGGCCGAACTTTAATACGCTCCACCATTTGCAACGAATTTGTAAATTTTTAAAAAATAAAATCCTTAAAAAATTCTGTTAAAATTTTAAAAATACCGAATATAGCCGTTATATTGGGGGGGTTTATACGACGTGGACATACATAGGCATTGTTTGTCATAAGCCATTACCATATTCAAATTCGAAACTTGAAATAAACGGTGAATAATGTAGCTAAAATCATCAAAATATCGTATATAAGGAGGTGCCGTTAAGTTGGAGCTGTGAGAAGACCTGGACCAGCATAGACAATTTTCTGTCACAGACTGTAGTTCCCATAACGAACTTCAAATACCAATTTTGAAACAATTCCGGTGAATAATGTCGCTAAAATCATCAAAATACCGAATATAGGGATGTACCGTTATATGGGGGCTATATGAAGATGTGGACCTGCACAGACAATTTTCTGTCTTAGGGTGTAGTATCTATTTTGAACTTTAAATACCAAATTTGAAGCAATTCCCGTGAATAATGTCGCTAAAATCATCAAAATATCGAATATCGGGAGGTACCGTTATATGGGGGCTATACGAAGACGTGGACCTACATGGCTCATTTACGAACTTAACCTGCCTACTGGAAAAATAAACATGTGTGCAAAATTTTAGCCATCTATCTCAATTCATTCGAAAGATAGCGTGATTACAACAGACAGACGGACAGACAGACAGACGGACATCGTTAAATCGACTTAGAATTTTACGCTGATCAAGAATATATATACTTTGTTGGGTCTGATATGAGTATTTCGAGGAGTTACAAACGGAATGACAAAGTTAATATACCCTCCATAGTATGGTGGAGGGTATAAAAATGGTAGAGATTGGGCCATTTCTTTTGCTAACTGCCCCACATAGGGTTTAAGATTTTGAAAAACAAAACGCTCAAAGAAAGCGAAAAAAGCATCCAACTCTCCTCAAATTTCACACATAGAAACATTTTTGCTAACACAAGATCAGTTGTGAATATGAAACCCTTCTGATACCTCACCCACAAAGGGTGACAATTTTCAATAGTTTTGTCTGTCATTACTTGCGAAAAAAGTCAGCGATTCTTTACAACTTGCTATATCTAAATATATCTCTCTTAACCAGAAACCTGAGATGAATATGGAATTTATGATTTCGTATAAAATTGAATATAAATGTTAGATTTTCTTGTAATTTTACCCATGCCAATATTTTTATCTGTATTAGATGAAGTATTAAAATGGAATACTTTGGTCGACTATATCTGGTACCTCACGCACATTTTAACATTTTCTAAACAATATCGCATATCTCATGTAAAGTCAAGAATGTATATCATATTAATTTGGGTCTGATACGAAATGGACAATATTGACCCATTCCTTCGAGGGTCAACAATTTGAATAATCATAACAGAAGTCGAAATATATTTAAATCATCCATCGGCAAAACCGACTGATACTTTTTAACTTGTTATATCATACTTATGCAAATGATGTATTGATATACACTATAGTATAAAATGTTTCCTTTAAGATAATAAATAGTGTGAGGCGCCTTAAAGTATGTTATAAAAATGCTTAACATAAATGTAGAAAATATGTAGCTTTGCATAGCACTCTAGCATTATGTGTACACTAACATACGGGAAAACCACTTCAGGACTCAAGTAAGGCTCTAAAATACATGTCACAAAATATATCATGCGTTGATGCCACGCTGCTTATGTATCATCACCTTTATTTTATAGGAAATGATTCATTCGATTTATTTCTTTTTTTTGCATTAATTTCGACCCTTTGAGATATACATAAATAATTCAATCTACATCAGCATAATTTCTACAACAAATTTATGAATTTTTTGTACTTGTATTTCCCAAACTTGTCATATGATCCTCATTTCAGTTGTTTGCTTTTAGCCTCATGCATATACATATTAGGTCAATCAAGAATGTCCAAGGTGATCTTGTCATGTTTGTTATCTGTCGCGCATGTGAGGAAAGTTGCCTCTGTCTAATGGAAAATGTAACAGATTTCAATGGTAGAAGGTAATATTAAATTTAAATGAAAAACTCAAGCACAACTTATATGAAAAGAAAAAAATAAACAATTTCATGATTCTAATATTTGGTGCTACAACATTTTGCTTCATAAATTGTTTAATGCGCGACAACGTTTGTTAAAGGCTAGGATACACATAATGTTAGAAACACATCTAAAGGTACTTTTTTATACCCTCCACCATACATAGTATTATGTTAGTCACTCCGTTTGTAACTCATCGAAATAATAATTTTAGACCCAACAAAGTATATATATATATTTTTGATCAGCGAAAAATTCTAAGACGATTTAGCAATGCCGGTCCGTCTGTTGTAATCACGCTAGAGTCAATACGAATGAAGATAGGAAGCTAAAATTTTGCAGGCAGGTCAAGTTACAAAGACGGGCTATATTGGTCCACAATATCGTATAGCCTCCATAAAACGGTTCTCCACGATATTCGGTATTTTGATGATTTTTGCCATATTTTTCAATGGAATTGTCTGAAATTCTACGCAAGGAGTTCTTTGTGAGTACTTTAACATCCAGAAGAGAAATGTTTATATAAGGGTACCACCGATATTCGGTATTTTGATGATTTTAGCTACATTTTCCAATGGAATTGTCTGAAAATCCGCACTTAAAGCCCACATACAATGGTACCCCCGATATTCGATATTAGGCGATTTTGGGGACGTCTTCGTGTAGCCTCCATATATTGGTACATCCCAATATTCGGTATTTTATGATTATGAATATTCGGTATTTTATGATTATGATTTTATCGACATTATTCACCGGAGTTGTTTCAAATTTCGTATTCGTATAGCTTCACGGAATGGCTTATGACAAAAGTTGCCTATGCAGGTCCACGTCTTCGTATAGACCCCAATATAACGGCTATATTCTGTATTTTTAAGATTATAACAGAATTTTTGGCGAATGTTATTTTTTGAAAATTCCCAAATTCATTCGAAATGGTGAAGGGTATTCAAAGTTCGACACTGCTGAATTCATCCTAGAAACCAGTACTTAAAATTTGGTGTAAATCGGTTTAGATTTAGCTATAGCTCCCATATATATGTTTCATCCGATTTGGGGTTTTAAGTCCCTCACATTCGCAATACTCACTCCACAAGAATGACACTTGGTACCAGATATCAGATACAGCTCGAGAATACCGTTGCAAGTTTTATTGAGATCGGTTTTGATTTTTATAGCTTCGAAATACATCTTCATCAGATCAATATCCAAATTGGATAGATATTTTCATATACAATCGAATTTTTTCATTTGGTGAAACCATACATAGTATGGTAACTCATCGAAATAATAATTTTAGACCCAACCAATTATATATATTCTTGATCAACGAAAAATTTTAAGACAATTTAGCCCTGTCCGTCCATCCGTCTGTTGTAATCACGCTACAGTCAACACGAATTAAGATAGGAAGCTAAAATTTTCCACTGGTCTGTCTTTTGTCTGCAGGCAGGTCAAGTTCGAAGACGGGCTATATCGGCCCACGATATCGTATAGCCCCCATATAACGGGTCCACACGATATTCGGTATTTTCATGAGTTTCGCCACATTTTTTCAATGTAATTTTCTGAAATTCCTCACAAGGAGTTCTTTTTGAGTACTTTACCCCTTGACAGAGAATTATCTATATAGGTCCACGATATCGTATATCCCCCATACAATGGTACCCTCGATTTTCGTTATTTTTATGATTTTAGCCACATCTTTTAACGGAATTGTCTGAAAATTCACGCAAGGAGTTCCTTGTTACCCTTAGAAAAGAATTGTCTAAATAGGTCCACGTTTTGGTGTAGCTCCCATGTAACGTTACCGCCAGATATTAGGTATTTTCGTGATTCTTGCGACATTATTCAGCGGAATTATTTCAAATTTCGTATATAAAGTTCGGAACCGTTACTACAGCCTATGACACAAATTACTTATGCAGGACCACGTCTTCGTATAGCCCCCATATAGCGGTTTTTATTCGAGCGGTATTTTCCGAAAGAATTTTTTTTGGAAATTTTCAAGTTTCTTCCAAATGGTGGAGGGCATAAAAAGTTCGACCCGACCGAACTTAGCTCCTCTTTTACTTGCTTTTGTACGGTAGCTATACTAAATACTCATACTGGTGTTGTGCATCATATTGTCGGCTCCGCCTGAATTTAACCTTCCTTACTGGTATTTTTTTAATATTGCCGAAACACTTTGTAACTAAAATGGAAGGATTCCAAGGAATCTTAATTGAAAATATTAAAAGAAAGTGGAAGAGAGTTCTGCCCTCTTGCTTGTCCCTATTTAGCTAACATTGAGATGTAAACTTTCAGAATGTATTTTTTTTGTGTTGCATGGTGTAATTACGGATAATAGACATAATTTCAAAAGTTCCATCGAATGGTGAGGGACGTTAAAAGTTTGGACTGGTCGAACTTAACTGTTTGGTAATTTTTGACAAAATTGTCTTTCAAAGACGGTATCGGATTCGTTGAAGCTTCGCACAGCCTAAAATTTTTATCATACTTGGATTAGATGCAAAAATCGACAACTTCGGCACCTTCTTCACAAACGGTCATAGTTCTTATAAAATTCAAAAAAATCGGCCACTAATGCTGCTGACTTCCCCACAAAGGAATAAAAACTCTCCAAAATCTTAATATTCTTGCCTATTGGTATATATCAGTGCATTAAACAAAACAGAAACTTGGGTGGTTTGTCCAGGAAAATTCGATTCTGAACAACTGTGCTAATCATTCTAACTTTTGAAGGGATCGAACCAAAATTTGTCTGAAAGTCTTATGATGTTGAAAATGGAATACATCGGTCCACGTTTCAGTTTAGCCCCCCGATTTCCAATATTTCAAGGTTTTCCCGCCTATTTGTTGAAATAAATTAACTTATGTAGAGTTCTTTAATGTTTCAAGGATGATTGATTTTAAAGGTGGGTTTAATCGGTCTACGTTAAGATATAGACCCTATATAACTGTACCTCACGTTTTTTCGATTAATTGAAGTTTTTAGCGAAAAAATTAAGCTAAATCGTCAGCAAAATGTAGTATATAGGTCCGGTATTTGCTATAACTCCCATATAATAGAGCCTCCCGATTTTCGGTATTTGGAAATTTCAGCCACAATTTCCCACAGCATCAATGTGACATTTCGGTTTTTCTTTAGGCTCGATACAGATTCACAAAGGGTGCCCCTTGGTCTCCGAAATTTTTAGATTTGTTATACCATCCACCATTTTATGGAGGGTATATTAACTTTGTCTTGCCGTTTGTAAGTCCTCGAAATACTCATATAAGATATTAAAATTTTGGTCCAGAACTTAGGTGTTTTTTATTTGCTTTGCTTCAATTTACGACTGTAATGTGGTATTTCGTGTTAGTGTCATTAGATGGAAATTCTCTTCTCTAAAAATTTTGTATATATCCCCGAAATTTTCCAATAGTCGACACACTCCTCACTATATATCACTACCTCATGATTTTTTTTAGTTGCTATTTACAAAAAATGTCCGGTGTAGATCCGCTAAATGGTATAACTCCCAAGGGTACCTTCTGATTTTCGATATTTTAAAGATTTTTTTCATTCAATTTCCACGGAATCAGCTGTAATTTGACATAACGAATTTTTAGAGGGAAGCATTTTTACATCGCGTAAAACGTATAACCCCCATATAGTGATATCTTCTGATTTTCGTAGGTTTCTGCTCATAAAAAATGTCCGATACAAGTCCTAGGTCTTAATTTTGGGAATTTAGAGGATTTTTCTAAGCTTTCAAAGATATCGTCTGTAACTTAACATTTCGGGGTCTCGTTGGGTAGAATTTCTCCCCGCGAAAAGATTCTCTCCAATATTTGCCCATACCTTCCCCACAAAGAGAAATAATATATAGGAGACATATCTAATTCAGAATCAATTTTCACAAAATTTGGCGGAGACATTTTTGTCTTTTATACCAAATAACATTGCTATAGAGTGCATAATGTTACTTCGAGAAATATTATATTAAAAGAATATATATCGAAGCCAAATTGCACAAAATGTAAACGTATGTCCTGAAATTCACTCCATTTGGCTTCATATTAGCCATTATTTGCACAATAAGCCTGAAATCGGATTAGGTATATATAGGAGCTATATCCAAATCTTAGCCGATTACAATTTTGCAAATATATTTCCGAGCTCTATAAGATATCTGGTACCAAATATCATTGTTGTCGAATGCATATTACGAATGTGAGGGACTTAAAATCCATAATCGGATGAAACATATATATAGTAGTTATAGCTATTAAATTGGTTGGATTTGCCAAAGCTCAGGTCATTTGGACTAATATTGGCCATTTGGTGCAAAAAAACCTGAAATCAGATAAAGATATATATGGGAGCAATATCCAAATCTGAAAAGATCTTCTTAACATTTGACAGAGGTATTTCTGGGCCGTATCTGATATCTGGTACCAAATATAATTGCTGTCGAATGCATATTACGAATATGAGGGACTTAAAACGCCTAATCAGATGAAACATATATATGGGAGCAATAGCTATGTCTAACCCGATTTTTACCAAATTTGATGTACTTGCTTCTAAACTGAATTCGGTAGGATGTACCAAAACACAGGCCATTTGGACTGATATTGCCATTTGACCAATGTATATATGAGAGCTATATTAAAATCTTAGCCGATTTCCATAAAATTTGGCAAAGGTATTTCCGAGCTCTATAAGATATGTGGTACCAAAATGCATAGTTGTCGAATGCATATAACGAATGTGAACTATAGCTTTATCTAAACCGATTTTCACCAAATTTGATGTACTTGCTTCTAAACTGAATTCGGCCGGATATGCTAAAGCTTAGGTAATTTGGACTGATATTGGCCATTTAGTGGTCAATTAACCCGAAATCGGTTGAAGATATGTATGGAAGCTATATCCAAATCTAAACCGATTTTACTAACATTTGGCAAAGGTTTTTCTGGGCCGTATCTGATATCTGGTACAAAATATCATTCTTCAGGAGTGCACATTACGCATGTGAGGGACTTAAAGTCCCAAATCGGATGAAAAATATATATGGGAGCTATATCGACATCTTAACCAATTTTCACCAAATTCGATGTACTAGCTTCTAGACTTAGTTCGGTCGGTCTCAGGTCTTTTGGACTGATATTGTCCATTTGGTGCTGAATTAGTCTGAAATCGATTGAAGATATATATGGGAGCCATATCTAAATTTTAACCGATTTTCCTTGGACCAAACAAATATTGTTTGGACAATTTCATCTAAATCGGATAATAAATGCGACCTGCATTTTATTCACAAAAATACATGGACATTTTTAAATATTTATATAATAATTGGAAACCCCAGAAATTTTGGCGTCTTTACGAGGATATCTCCAAAATAAGCGCCAATATAGAAAAACTCACAACAATTCAGAAAGAACAAACCTTAGAAATCACCTCTATTTCAAAATGCCAAAAAATGGCGTATGGAATACTTGGGCATGACACGGAAGATATGGCCAAGCTTTATTGTTATGAATTTTTAAGAATTATAATATAACTTATTTCACATGGTGTGGGGTATAAAAAGTTCGCCAGGACAATTTTTATATCATTTCCTCTTGTTTTAAAATTTCTTTCAAATCGATTTCACCAAATTCGGCAAAAAAAATGTAAATGTAATGTTAAGAGATATTTTTGGGTAAAATTCCAAACATATCGTTCCACAATGCCATATGATGGTGTAGAGAGAAACTTATAGTCTTTATAGTCAATTTCTTCTTCCTTTGCAGGATACGTTTTACAATTTCGTGATACACATTTAAAAATAATCCACTTGCTATTTATTTCAACATTAATGCATTTCAGTGTCTTTACATCTCTTTTTAACACTTTCTTTATTGTTCCTCAAAAAGGACTCACCTTCATTTTTATTGGTTTATATTTATTCACTTAATTTTCGAATATTTCAGAAAAATTTCGAAATCCAATTTTTTTTGGGAAAGTTCGTTTTTGTTTGTCTTTTTTTGAAAACTACTACCAGTAGTAGTGTTTCAATTTCCACACACACACATAGATGCACACACAATATCCTTTTTAGGTATTCGTTCTTATTTTTTGCAGATAATTTATGTAATCCTTTTGCTATATATTGTTGTTGTTGTTGTTGCTATTAAAGTTCTCGATTATGAAATCCATAAATCGTGGTGTTGTAATCCTTGATAGTCTATGGCAGACAATTTCAAATGAAAAGAACCGTTTTTATTTTGTTTTCGATGTGGCTGTTTTCTCTCTTGCGTATCGTGCGTATTTCGAGATTTGTGGTATAGCCCCGGTAAAGTGGAGCACCGCGAGATACTGATGGCCAGCCAGGCCCTATAAACGTTTATATACGGTCAAACTAAGTCCAAAAAATAAAACAAACACAACTGTCTTGTCGTCATGTAATGACTGCTTGACAAACCGATCTAAGTTTTCGCTTTTGTGCGAACACGCATAAAGATCATTCACAGGCAGGCACTCGAAGCCTAGCTAGGCAGGCCGTTAGCAGCGACAGAACCAGCAATAATCATAACCTGAGCAGATTTTATGTGTAGCTCAATGCTGATGCTGCGCGCTCTAGAAATGCAGCCTGCAGTGCCAGTCCGCCAAGCTCACAGGCAGCACCGCCGACAAAGTTCGCTGCAATCTGTAATATATAGCTCAATTTTGCAAAACGATTAGCAACGACAGTCAGCTGGCAGAAATATTGACAACAAATGTCATGCGCTGCCTCAATTGTGCTCTAATCTGCTCAGCACGGCTCACACACACTCACTCAGCGTTTTTATAAATTCTCTAGTCTCATGGATATTGTTTTTGTCAAATTTTCCTTTTTTCTAAAAAAAAACACGCTACACATAGAATCAGCTACAACCACATAGCCTTTCATGGAAAATGCGTTAGGCCTAAAACAAGGTGGCTCAAAATTTCTGCTGTCTAATCATTGATCAGGCACAAGCTGCATAGCGGAAAAGAGTTGCCATACCCTTAGACAAAATGAAGACCAAAGAATACTTTTGAAGACCAAGTTTTTCCACTATGGACTTTGTGGAGACAAATTCTTCTTAGTGGAGACTTTCCATATAGAACATTTGGTGGAGACCTAGTTTTCGTATAGAAAACTTGGTGGAGACCCAGTTTTCGTAGAGAAAACTTGGTGGAGACCCCGTTTTCGTAGAGAAAACTTGGTGGAGACCCCGTTTTCGTATAGAAAACTTGGTGGAGACCCCGTTTTCGTATAGAAAACTTGGTGGAGACCTGGTTTTCGTATAGAAAACTTGGTGGAGACCTAGTTTTCGTATAGAAAACTTGGTGGAGACCTGGTTTTCGTATAGAAAACTTGGTGGAGACCTGGTTTTCGTATAGAAAACTTGGTGGAGACCTAGTTTTCGTATAGAAAACTTGGTGGAGACCTGGTTTTCGTATAGAAAACTTGGTGGAGACCTAGTTTTCGCATAGAAAACTTGGTGGAGACCTAGTTTTCGCATAGAAAACTTGGTGGAGACCTAGTTTTCGCATAGAAAACTTGGTGGAGACCTAGTTTTCGTATAGAAAACTTGGTGGAGACCCAGTTTTCGTAGAGAAAACTTGGTGGAGACCCCGTTTTCGTAGAGAAAACTTGGTGGAGACCCCGTTTTCGTATAGAAAACTTGGTGGAGACCCCGTTTTCGTATAGAAAACTTGGTGGAGACCTGGTTTTCGTATAGAAAACTTGGTGGAGACCTAGTTTTCGTATAGAAAACTTGGTGGAGACCTGGTTTTCGTATAGAAAACTTGGTGGAGACCTGGTTTTCGTATAGAAAACTTGGTGGAGACCTAGTTTTCGTATAGAAAACTTGGTGGAGACCTGGTTTTCGTATAGAAAACTTGGTGGAGACCTAGTTTTCGCATAGAAAACTTGGTGGAGACCTAGTTTTCGCATAGAAAACTTGGTGGAGACCTAGTTTTCGCATAGAAAACTTGGTGGAGACCTAGTTTTCGTATAGAAAACTTGGTGGAGACCTAGTTTTCGCATAGAAAACTTGGTGGAGACCTAGTTTTCGTATAGAAAACTTGGTGGAGACCTAGTTTTCGTATAGAAAACTTGGTGGAGACCTAGTTTTCGTATAGAAAACTTGGTGGAGACCTAGTTTTCGTATAGAAAACTTGGTGGAGACCTAGTTTTCGTATAGAAAACTTGGTGGAGACCTAGTTTTCGTATAGAAAACTTGGTGGAGACCTAGTTTTCGTATAGAAAACTTGGTGGAGACCTAGTTTTCGTATAGAAAACTTGGTGGAGACCTAGTTTTCGTATAGAAAACTTGGTGGAGACCTAGTTTTCGTATAGAAAACTTGGTGGAGACCTAGTTTTCGTATAGAAAACTTGGTGGAGACCTAGTTTTCGTATAGAAAACTTGGTGGAGACCTAGTTTTCGTATAGAAAACTTGGTGGAGACCTAGTTTTCGTATAGAAAACTTGGTGGAGACCTAGTTTTCGTATAGAAAACTTGGTGGAGACCTAGTTTTCGTATAGAAAACTTGGTGGAGACCTAGTTTTAGTATAGAAAACTTGGTGGAGACCTAGTTTTAGTATAGAAAACTTGGTGGAGACCTAGTTTTCGTATAAAAAACTTGGTGGAGACCTAGTTTTCGTATAGAAAAGTTGGTGGAGACCTAGTTTTCGTATAGAAAACTTGGTGGAGACCTAGTTTTCGTATAGAAAACTTGGTGGAGACATAGTTTTCGTATAGAAAACTTGGTGGAGACATAGTTTTCGTATAGAAAACTTGGTGGAGACATAGTTTTCGTATAGAAAACTTGGTGGAGACCTAGTTTTCGTATAGAAAACTTGGTGGAGACCTAGTTTTCGTATAAAAAACTTGGTGGAGACCTAGTTTTCGTATAAAAAACTTGGAGGAGACCTAGTTTTCGTATAGAAAACTTGGTGGAGACCTAGTTTTCGTATAGAAAACTTGGTGGAGACCTAGTTTTCGTATAGAAAACTTGGTGGAGACCTAGTTTTCGTATAGAAAACTTGGTGGAGACCTAGTTTTCGTATAGAAAACTTGGTGGAGACCTAGTTTTCGTATAGAGGTATAGAAAACTTGGTGGAGACCTAGTTTTCGTATAGAAAACTTGGTGGAGACCTAGTTTTCGTATAGAAAACTTGGCGGAGACCTAGTTTTCGTATAGAAAACTTGGTGGAGACCTAGTTTTCTTATAGAAAACATGGTGTAGACCTAGTTTTCGTATAGAAAACTTGGTGGAGACCTAGTTTTCGTATAGAAAACTTGGTGGAGACCTAGTTTTCGTATAGAAAACTTGGTGGAGACCTAGTTTTCTTATAGAAAACATGGTGGCGACCTAGTTTTCGTTTAGAAAACTTAGTGGAGTCCTAGTTTTCGTTTAGAAAACTTAGTGGAGTCCTAGTTTTCGTAAAGAAAACTTGGTGGAGTCCTAGTTTTCGTATAGAAAACTTGGTGGAGTCCTGGTTTTCGTAAAGAAAACTTGGTGGAGTCATAGTTTTCGTAGAGAAAACTTGGTGGAGACCCAGTTTTCGTAGAGAAAACTTGGTGGAGACCCAGTTTTCGTAGAGAAAACTTGGTGGAGACCCAGTTTTCGTAGAGGAAACTTGGTGGAGACTCGGATTTCGTATGGAAAACCTGGTCCAGACCCAGTTTTCGTATAGAAAACTTGGTGAAGACTCAGTTTTCGTGTTGAAAACTTGGTGGAGAACCAGTTTTGTGGAGACTCAGTTTTCGTATAGAAAAATTGGTGCAGACCTAGTTTTATTATAGAAAACTTGGTGGAGACCCAGTTTTCGTAGAGAAAGCTTGGTGGAGACCCAGTTTTCGTACAGAAAGCTTGGTGGAGACCCAGTTTTCGTAGAGAAAGCTTGGTGGAGACCTAGTTTTCTTATAGAAAACTTGGTGGAGACCCAGTTTTCGTAGAGAAAGCTTGGTGGAGACCCAGTTTTCGTAGAGAAAACTTGGTGGAGACCTAGTTTTCGTAGAGAAAACTTGGTGGAGACCCAGTTTTCGTGGAGGAAACTTGGTGGAGACCCAGTTTTCGTGGAGGAAACTTGGTGGAGACTCGGATTTCGTATGGAAAACCTGGTCCAGACCCAGTTTTCGTATAGAAAACTTGGTGAAGACTCAGCTTTCGTGTTGAAAACTTGGTGGAGAACCAGTTTTGTGGAGACCCAGTTTTCGTAGAGAAAACTTGGTGGAGACCTAGTTTTCTTATAGAGAAAACTTGGTGGAGACCTAGTTTTCTTATAGAGAAAACTTGGTGGAGACCTAGTTTTCTTATAGAAAACTTGGTGGAGACCCAGTTTTCGTAGAGAAAACTTGGTGGAGACCCAGTTTTCGTAGAGAAAACTTGGTGGAGACCCAGTTTTCGTAGAGAAAACTTGGTGGAGACCCGGTTTTCCTATTTAAAACTTGGTGGAGACTCGGATTTCGTATAGAAAACTTGGTGGAGACCCAGTTTTCGTATAGGAAACTTTGTAGAGACCCAGTTTTCGTATAGAAATCTTGGTGGAGACCCAGTTTTCGTATAGAAATCTTGGTGGAGACCCAGTTTTCGTATAGAAAACTTGGTGGAGACCCAGTTTTCGTATAGAAAACTTGGTGGAGACCCAGTTTTCGTATAGAAAACTTGGTGGAGACCCAGTTTTCGTATAGAAAACTTGGTGGAGACCCAGTTTTCGTATAGAAAACTTGGTGGAGACCTAGTTTTCGTATGGAACACTTAGTGGAGACCTAGTTTTCGTATGGAACACTTAGTGGAGACCTAGTTTTCGTATAGTAAACTTGGTGGAGACCCAGTCATCGTATAGGAAACTTGGTGGAAACTTTGGTAAGGGTTATTTTTCCCATTTTCAAATCTGCCCAAGTCTCATGTTTTGATGACTGCATTGGCCACCCTGTCTAACAAAAACGAATCACACGACGAGGTGTGTGCGCATGTGTGACCACTTTGCCGACAGTCACGAATATTGAATATTTACGCGTAACAGTTTAACAAACCAACAATACTTCTTGCAAAGGTATTCGGCTCATTTTAATCGCAGCAATTCGCATAAAGGAGGGCAGAGGGAGCATAGCATCCATTTTGGTTGCATTTTTGGTCTTAACGCAAAATATTCGTTGTGGCCTATGCGTGTGTCTGTATGTTAGTAGCAGGTATGATTGTAGGCACAAAGTGCCCCACCTTCTTCGTCATCAGAGCACAGAGTCACAAAAAATAAAATAATTTGCAGTCACCTTAAAGCTTGGAGTTTTTCTTTTGGTTTTTTGTTTGCATTCGATTTAAGAGTAGCAGAGATCATTGTTTCATTTGTATTTGCAATTTAATAAAAATAATGGTTAAGTTGTCGTTGTTGCATTCTGATCTGAATTGTTTAGTTGGTGGTATGTAAATTTATTTTCTTGAACACTGTGAGAAATTTAACGTGTAATGCAATGCAATTT